TTGTAAGCCCTGTAAACTCTCAACCCGTACTGACCAAATGAACCCTCAAAAGTTCATGGTTCATATGCCCTAATAGGGAAGCTTAGTAGCTGAGTGAGGACACTTTACACTTTTTGGGATCCGATACTCCCCTATAGAACTGAAAGTGTTCTCTTTCTTGGGGCTTATGAACTCAGCAACTAAGGAATTGTGGTATGGGGTATATGACCCCAATATTTGGGTTCATGTGGTCCCCGAATCCCTAAACTATAAAACGCTGTATCCTATAATACCCTATAAGCCCTACAAAGCCTAAACCCAAACAGCCCTAAACCCTAAACCCTAAACCCTGTATACCCTCTCTTCAAGGAAGCTCCATCTCACTCCGCCAGCGCTGCCGAAGTCGCCGCATGCCCGCAGTCCCTTGCGGCGTGGGCTGCCACATCGGAGGCCGTGACCTTAGTTTAGGGTTTAGGGTTTAGGGGTTTAGGGATTTAGGGTTTTGGGTTTTAGGGTTTAGGGTTTGGGGTTTTGGGTTTAGGGATTTAGGGTTTTGGGTTTTGGGTTTAGGGTTTAGGGTTTTGGGGCTTAGGGTTTAGGGTTTAGGGTTTGGGGTTTGGGGTTTAGGGTTTAGGGTAACTAGGACCCAGAGTAGGCCCTTATTCTCGTTTAGGGTTTAGGTTTTGGTACACGCCCCTTTAAACCCAACTGGACACCAATTTTCATTCTTAGGTTTCTCTCGGGCCTAGGTTAGGGCTGACAGGGTTTTTGGGGTTCCATAGGGTTAAACATAGGATGTAGAGTTTGGGGTGGGGGGGCGGCATTAATTCGGGAGTTTTTTGTTTGAGTTTTTCCGTTGTGTTTTTTAAAGAGCCGGCGCAAGCAAGCAAGCGAGGAAGCAAGCAAGCACGCATGGGGTTTGCAGGGTTTACAAGGTGGCATCGGGTTTGTCGGGTTTGCAGGGTTTGGGGTTGCAGTTCTTGAGACCTGACAGCGCGAAAAACCCCGAACTGGAGTTTGCTTAGGGTCAAGGGCCGAAGTGTTCCCGGATCCTAAGCCCTAAACCCTAAGCCCCAAACCCTAAACCCTAAACCCTAAACCCTAAACCCTAAACCCTAACCCCTAAACCCCTGTAAACCCCCCAAACGTCGCGGGCTGAGGCTCGCCGCCGGCCTGCTCCCGCAGGGAGAAATCCTGCCCGCGGGCAGGGCGACGCTGGCGGTGGCGTAGGATTGCCTTAGGGACCCTTAGATGAACCCTCGAAGGGTTTAGGGTTTAGGGTTTTGGGTTTAGGGTTTAGGGTTTAGGGTTTAGGGTTTAGGGTTTAGGGTTCAAGAGTTTTTCTTTCAAACAGTATAGGGTATATGAGCCCAATGTTAGGGTTCACCGGGTCCCTAAGGTGAGGTTTGGGGTTCAAAGCCAACCCCCGACCCAGACCCAATGTCTAGGACGGACGCTGCATGTCCAGCTCGCTGAATTTGGTTCTTAGGGTTCAGGGGTTTAGGGGTTTAGGGGTTTAGGGGTTTAGGGGTTTAGGGGTTTAGGGGTTTAGGGGTTTAGGGGTTTAGGGGTTTAGGGGTTTAGGGGTTTAGGGGTTTAGGGGTTTAGGGCTGTCTCAAGTTTACGGTGCTCAGTTTCTATGTTCTTTCTTTCAGGGCTTTGCGATAATTTAGGTTCACGGAACCCCTGTTCTCGTTTTCAGTATTGGTATTGTGAATATAGAGTTCACGTCTTTATTGTTTTCTTATTTGAAGGGGGGAGGGGGAGTGGATACCTTAAGAGAGGATGGGTTAGACGATGAAAGGTACGTACGGGCGAGTCTGAGATGTAGAACCACATATGGTAAGGGTTTAGGGTTTAGGGTTTAGGGTTTAGGGTTTAGGGCTTAGGGTTTAGGGTTTAGGGTTTATTGTTTAGGGTCCATGTACCGAAGTACAGTACACGTGGCCTTAGAAGTCGTGGCCTAAAAGCATTTGGTTCTGGGACCCCATGTTGAAGCAATCGAAAGAAGAAATCCCTAAGACCCTACATGCCCAACAATTTGGGTCTAGGGTTGGTGGTTGCGAGTTTAGGGCTTAGGGTAAGCCTGCCAGTTTTGGGTCTAGGGTGTAGGGTTTGGGGTTTGGGGGTTTGGGGGTTTTTTCAACCCCAAACAAGGCTTGACACCCTAAACCCCAAACCCTAAGCCCTAAACCCTAAACCCTAAACCCTAAACCTGCCTTCTGAAGTTTTGTAGATTGTGGTTTGGCATATGTTCAGCTTCCGAGCTCGGGGAGCCCAACCTTCAGCAGGGCATCGTTTGGTTGGCTGGGTCTCTGTAGGTCCTTAAGATGTAGAGGTTTTGGGTTTAGGGTTTAGGGTTTACGGTTTAGGGTTTAGGCTTTAGGGTTTAGGGTTTAAGGATACGGGGCAGGTTTGCAGGGATCATGTGATAACTTGGGGGTTCAGGGTTCATGCTGACCGGATGCTTTGCAGCGTCCCTTGAAGCCCGCAGAATTCGATGACGGAACACGGCAGCTTTCACGATGCATACATAGGGACATAGGGCACACCAAATCAAGACTCAACCGAACCCTAAACCCTAAACCCTAAACCCTAAACCCTAGCCCTAAACCCTAAACCTCTCCAAGCCCTAAAGCTCTGAAGCCCAGACCTCAGTCCAGCATCCCATTCTTCAAGAGAGAGACAACACCGTGCGACAGGGACGTCCACACTTGGAGGTGCAGGGTGCTTATCATCCTATTTTTAGGGTTTAGGGTTTAGGGTTTAGGGTATATAACTATACTTATGATTATGAGCCCCCTAAGTCCCCTAAGTAGATTATAAGTAGACGAATATCTGTGGATATAAGTACCCATGAACCTCCAAGCACAGGAGGGAGTTTGCAAGAGGTCGCGGTACTGCCTCGACCTCTATAAACTCTATCGGTCCTGAACCTTTAAACCTTGAAACCCTAAACCCTAAACCCTAAACCCGAAACCCTAAACCCCCAAACTCTAGAAGCCCTACGCGCCCCCGAAAGACTTCAACCCTTCATCCTCAAGTACTCCGCCGGGCTCCAAAGATGGGCGCAGGGTTGTCGTATGATTCTTTCCAAGACCCCGTAACTATTACCCTAAGGGTCCATGTACCTGAATAGGGAGTACTTCGGCCTTAACGTATTTCCTATATAGGGACTTTGGGGCCCAAGTATATACTACTAAGGTGCATGGACCCTTAGTTAGCTGTTGAAACTCATCAGGCCATTTCGAACAAGGCTTGGAAGCAGTTCTGTTCATCCGTCGCACTGCAATCTTACCTTGCCTTGCCAAGCCTGCTGAAACTAGCAGGCGGCGGTTGTTCAAATTCCGCTAGGGTCCCTTATACCAGGAGGAATCGGCAAAACTCTAAGGGGTAGATTTACATGTTGGGTTGTGCAGGGTATATAAGGGGTATATCAGGGGTATATACAGGGTATATAAGGGGTCCAATTTACAGGGCATACTAAGAGACCATGTAACTACCCCCAAGATAAGCTGTGAGTCGACACCAGGGCTCCTAACAAGGGACCCTAATCTCGAACAACCCCCAGGCCAGGACCCGGAGGACTCTACAGCCATCATGTTGTGAGGCTTTAGGGTATAACTAGGGTCTATAGGGTTTAGGGTTCCGGGTTCAGGTTTCAGGGTTTCTTTTCGGAACTTCAAGTGTTTGAGGGGTTCTCATGTAGGCATGCGGCACCAATGACCCCGAGTGTGCCACAGACAACACAGGGGACATTCACTGTCTACATTGGGGGTTAAGGGTTTAGAGTTTAGGGTTTTAAGGATCCCAAAAGAAAAACTTCTACATTGTGGGGTTTAGGGTTTGGAGTTTAGGGTTTTAGGGATCCTAAAAGATAAACGGTATATGGTTGGTCTCCAACCTTGGGTTTGTAAAGAAAGCAAAGCACAACCCCGAGGGGGGGTTTGCAAGAATGCCCCGACTCAGGGGCTCGAACCAGAGGCCAGTGTTTAGTGTTTGGGGTTGGGTGGTTTAGGGTTTAGGGTTTAGGGTTGCGGGTTTGGGGTTTAGGGTTTAGGGTTTAGGTTTACAGTCTAGGCTGCTTCGGCACGCTGGCTTGGAAAGAAGATTACATTGGCACATAGGCCAAAGCCTAAACACCCAGGCCCGCAACCTTAACCTAAGCACCCTAAACCCTAAACCCTAAACCCTAAACCCTAGACCCTAGACCCTAAACCCTAAACCCTAAACCCTAAACCCTAAACCCTAAACTCTAAACCCTAAACCCTAAACTCTCTCTGTGGGTCCTCAAGGGCGAAGCAGCAGTCGGTGAAACACTCGGCAGTCTGGCTCATGAGAAACGAAATCGGGGTTTAGGGTTTAGGGTTTAGGGTTTAGGGTTTAGGGTTTAGGGTTTGGGGTGCAGATCAGGTCCCCCTTTTCACTTCTCCCTGCCCTGCATATACACCTTTCTTACTCAACTCTATACTAAACCCCAAAACTCAAGGCCACATGCTGCACCTTTCTTGTTTCATCCTAGACTTCAATCCTACACACTACACGGACCTAATCCCAAACCCTAACAACATACCTTACTAGCCCTAGACCCAAACCTCCAAACTCTTCGTGAAGGGCGAAGTGCCCTAAATTCGAAAGCCATGAAACCATGAAACCGGCTTTGGGCAGAATTGAGGAAAGGGGAGGGGAGGGGGGGGGGGGGGGGGGGGGGGGGGGGGGGGGGGGGGGTGGGGTGAGGATGGCTTGGGGTGAAGGGGGCAGAGAAGACCCCCAAAATTTCGGGTTTTTCAGGTGGTTCGGAATTCTTGGGCTTTTGTGTTTGGGGTTTAGGGTTGGGATGTTGTCCCCTTTGCAGCCGTCTGTCTTTCGAAGGAAGCCAGGCCCTTGACATTCTTCTGGCTCTATAGGAACCATCCCAAGGTATGTATGCCATCGGGCCCTGAAAAGCCCTAAACCCTAAACCCTAAACCCTAAACAAGCCTTCCACAGCCTTTAGCCCTCCCCGGCACCCGCTCCATGCCATGGACCGTCTACGCCGACCGGAGTCCTTCGACGACGTGCGCGCGGAGGGGCTCTTCCGTGGCACCACGGCGCCACAGCACTCCGGCGTGTTACGCTACGGTTCATCTGAGTTTCCGGTCTTAGAGCGTATATATATGTATACATATATGTATATATATATATATAATGTATATGAGCTTTGTGAACTCCATGTCGCATGCCGTGCTTGGAGGTTTAAACGCTTCGGTGTTTATGGCAGGAGGTGGGTCACTGTTCCTAAGCTACTGTACATAGAAGCATAAAAGAGAGAGAGGGGGAGAGAGAGAGGTAACTCATACACATGTGTATGTCCGGGCATCTGTAGCTTTCTATAGTATCTAGATATCTATCTGCCCATGAAACCTTTGTTATGAATACAGGTGTGTACACATATATGCATGCATGCAGACATATCTAGATATGTGTATATAGATAGATGTGAACATAAATTATACAAGAATCACATGAATTAATAATCAAGACATGAATAGAAATACATTTGTATATATATATATATATATATATCACGATGTGCCACTCATAAGCGCTGATCTCCCAGTCTTGTACTGCATATTACTGGCCCGCAACACTTTCAGTGTAACTGAAGCTGTACGCCTGTAATGCGTATGAAAGCAAGAAAAGAAGTACTGGTGACTATGAAGATCCAACAGTTTAAATCTTTGACGAACCCAGATTTTTGGGGGAGGATCCAAAAGAGAAGAACCCAGACCCTAAATCCTAAACCCTAAAGCCCCCCCGAACGTCCTAAGCCCTAGCAGTCCGCAAGCCTGTGACCCGACTGGACCCTCAAGCCAGGACCCCTTGAGGCCCCAGAAGCCCTTCGAGTCTCCCGACAGCTGAACCCCACCCCCTATATGAAGTAGGGCATATATTTCTTGTACCCCAAAAGGACACCAGGTATATACACTCACCAATACTAAAAAGGAACCTTATATACACTCACCAACAACAGTAATATAAACCCTGTTTCATATATTCCCCTAGATCTAACAAGGGGTAGGTTTAAACATTTTTACATTTCTATTAACCCCAAATCACGATTGTAATCATGATCAAGCCATAGAAATTTCAATTTTTTTAGGGCCCCCAAACCTATCCCAGCGAAGTTGTGTGAACTTCAGAGGATTCTCCAGAGCCAGGGCATCGTCTTCACCCAGGGCTTGCCAGGCTTAGGGGGTTTTAGGTGAGTTTTTTTTGGGGGGGGGGGGGGGGGGGGGGGGGGGGGGGGGGGGGGGGGGGGGGGGGGGGGGGGGGGGGGGGGGGGGGGGGGGGGGGGGGGGGGGGGGGGGGGGGGGGGGGGGGGGGGGGGGTGGGGGAGGAACCCTAAACCCTAAACCCTAAACCCTAAACCCCAAACCCTAAACCCTAAACCCTTCTTTCTATGTCACCCAGAAATCTTGTGAAGGTCGTTTTCCTTGCTGGGGGTCGTAAAGTGGGGCTTAGTAGGGCCAGAGGGTTTTCACCTCAGTGGTTTTGAGAGGAGGTTGTAAAGGGGTGTCAGGGTTTGAAGGTTTTGGGTTTGGGGTCCCTAAACCCAAAACCCTAAACCCTAAACCCTAAACCCTAAACCTTAAACCCTAAACCCTAAACCCTAGACCCTAAACCCTAAACCCAGGGTTTAGGGTTTAAGGGTGGGTTTTGGGGAGCTTGGGGTTGAGGCTCACAGGGATGCTGCAGTTTCGGATTTAGGCGGTGCTAGGCTGTTGGGAGTAGGGTTTAGGGTTTAGGGTTTAGGGTTTAGGGTTCAGGGATTTCGGTTTTAGGGTTTAGGGATTTCGGGATTGGATTGGGGTTTTCGATTCGGGGCGGGTTTAGGGGAATTGGGGTTACCCAAAGCCCTATACCCTTTAAGGATAGCATTGGTGTTTCGGGGTTTCGGAGTATTTTGGAGTTTCCGCTTTCGCTATTCTGAGTTTTATTAACTTTATTCTTATTGTTATTATCATTAGGATTTTTATCACTATGTTCATTATGATTATTATGTGATTTTTTTTGGGGGGGAGGGGGGGGGGGCGGGGGCACCAGGCTAAGCTACTGTTAATCGCGAATCCCCAGCATATACACCAGCTAGTCTTTGCTAGACTGCGGCCAGTAGGGCTCTGCACCCTACGGTGCGTTTGCATTCTCCAACCCTTAAACACTATTGGGATGTTCACCCTTATACCAATCGTTCTCAATAGGGGGATTCTGGTACCCCCAACTATAATCCCTATGAAGGACTGTTAGTATAAGGGTGAACATCCCAACCTAGACACGATGACTCCGAAACCCGAAATCCGAAGGCGACGAGATGAGAGTTCGTACCAGAGAACAAAGCAGCAGTTTGGCATGTTCCCCTTCTAGTAGCAGCCCTTAATAGGCATTCTACTAATTAGGGAGTACTATGATCCCTACTGAGGACTGCTAGTATAAGGGGGAACATCCCAGACAGTTTTTGCTTCTAGGCTTGGTCTACCCGCATATCTCTTCCCACAGCCCTTTCTCCCACGGGCTGCCATCGCTCATTCTTGCAAAAGGTATAGATGCAAGTGCGACAACAAGTTATATGGGGTCGGAATGTTTACGAAGATTGTTCCCTGATGGTCCCTTTATGAATATACTATAATCACCCGCAAAACCCTATTCTAATTATTAAGGCGTACTAAACAATAAACCCTAAACCCTAAACCCTAAACCCTAAACCCTAAACCCTAAAGCCTAAACCCTAAACCCTAAACCCTAACTGTACACAAGCTTCAACGTTCAGTGGTACATCAATCCGCAGCTTACGCAGGTCTTCTGGGCGCCGGCGGCTTCCGTCCGGACAAGATTCCCACCAAGGAGGACGTGCCATTGATAACTGGTTTGGGGTTTGAGGTTTGAGGTTTGAGGTTTAGGGTTTAGAGTTTAGGGTTTAGGGTTTAGGGTTTAGGAGCTTCAAATCCTGAGCAAAACTCGTACCCTTACTCGATGCCCAGCTGCGTGGAAGCTACGTAGGCTGTATCCCGTGCCCCCAGTACAGGGTACCCAAAGGGTCCTGCGTACCTATATAGGGGACACTGACCCAAACCATAATAGTAATTCCAATTATGGAAACCCTGCCTTCTACTATGTAGGTACTTTGGACCCTTTGGGGTAGGGTCATGTGGGGTTTTGAGTTGTATGGGTGTTGCTTGGCTTCACCCTTATGCCGCAAGCTTTGCACAAGAACGGCATGTTCTGCCAAAGTTTGGGGGTTTTCTTCAAACCGATCAGAAGCCAGCAAGCTATGTCGCTTTGGGTTTAGGCTTCAGGGCTCCAGGAGGATGCTGGAGGCTCCTGGATCGCCCTAAGGTACCTCATTGTTTTATACTTGGGCCCCAAAGTCCCTGTATAGGAAGTACTCGAAGGCCAAAGTAATCCGTATTTAGGTGCATGGACCCTTAGGGTCATGTTCTGAAGCAGGTTAAGACCCCCAGCCCCGATACTCCTCTCACCCAAGGTGCAAATCATTGTTTCGCTTTTCACAACCCCAGGGCTGTAAACTTTAAGTGCTAAACTCCTGAGTTTAGGGTTTAGTGTTTGGCGTTTAGGGTTTAGGATTTAGGGGGAGGGTCTCAGCCATGGTTTCGAGCTTCAGGTTTAAAAGGAAAGTATTTGTGCTGATCACTTTGCCCTCAACCCTACAAACCTGGGCCCTAAGAAAAGATGGGTCCCTTTTGGGGTCCTTATTATAAGGCGGCGCCTCTTACTTCGGGTAGCCCAAAAAGGGTTCATAAATATAGGCGTCGGAATAGCTGCTTATTGTGTCCCCTATGGTCCCTTTATAAGTATACTATCATGTCCCCAAAAAAGCCCATTTCTAACTACCAAGGCCCCTATCCCAAAGGGTCCAAAGTACCTACATAGTAGAAAGTAGGGTTCCCAGAATAGGAATTACTATTATGGTTTGGGTAAGTGTCCCCCATTATGGGTACTTAGGACCCTTTGGGATTTCTAGTTCAGAGAAGTGACCCTAAACCCTAAACCCTAAACCCTAAACCCTAAACCCTAAACCCTAAACCCTAAACCCTAAACCCTAAACCCATGGCTTTGAGGTGCTGGAAGCGGGAGCGCGCATCTTCGACCGCAGTTCCTGCGCCGATCATGTGGATGTGCCGTGGTACGGAGGGTTTAGGGTTTGGGGTTTAGGGTTTAGGGTTTAGGGTTGAGGGTTGAGGGTTGAGGGTTGAGGGTCTAGGGTTTAGGGTTTAGGGTTTAGGGTTTAGGGTTTAGGGTTTAGGGTTTAGGGTTTAGGGTGTAGGGCTCAGGGCGATACATTCCAAGAACCACTTCTGGCAGACTACGAATCCTGAAATCCCCTGACGGGCTCATAGGGTTCTTCAGGGAGGGGGGGGGGTTCAAGGGGGTATGGAACCTAAACCCTATACCCTAAACCCTAAACCCTGAACCCTAAACCCTAAACCCTTAAACCAGGGGGTTCAAGGGGGTAGGGAACCCAAGCTCCCCTAATACTCCCTAAGATTCCCTCCCCCATGAACCTCTAAACTTCAAGCCCTAAACCCTAAACCCTAAACCCTAAACCCTATACCTCTCTTAGGAATCCTCTAAAGGGATGTTGTTGGAGAGGGCCCTCCTCGACTGCAGGTGTTCGTGAGCCATTGCTGGGGCTCGAAGCGCTGGGCGAAGTACCTTGCACTGTGCCTCTACCTGAACCTTGGAGACCAGTTTAGGGTTTAAAGTGTAGGGTTTGGGGTTTAGGGTTTGGGGTTTAGGGTTTAGGGTGTAGGGTGTAGGGTTTAGGGTTAAAATTCCCTATGCTACTACTATAATTTCTACTAGGGTACGCAAACCAGAAACTGTTCCAGGGACTACTTGAATCTTCGTTAAGGCATACAAACCCTATTTTTCTTTTTCAAATTCATATCGCCCCAAGGAACTTGGCTCCAGCTGTTGTGTTCTCCCTCACCATCTGGGTGGTGGCTAGTACCTTGGGGACGAAATGAACCCTAAAAGGGTTTATGGTTCATATACCTTAATAGGAATTCTAGTAGTAGAGGGTATATGACCCCAATTTTAGGGTTCATTTCGTCCCCAAGGTACAGTCATTCTCACATCCGCCCGGGACATTGGCGCCAGCCACAGGGGAAGCCTCCTGCTTCGCGGCCTTGACACCCCTGAAGCCTAAAATCTTAGTATGGCCGTCGGAAGACTGGTGTGTGGATCCCCCGCCCTTTTACTTCCCTAAAGCCTAAACCCTAAACCCTAAACCCTAAACCCTAAACCCTAAACCCTAGACCCCAGCTGGCAACCTTGAACATCGACTGCTGTTCATGGTGAGGTTTAGCAACTGAAGTTCCGGGGCCCCAGAGTTGGGCCCCGCAGCTCCCAACCGTTTTTTGCATCCACACAAATCTTCTAAGGGTGAGTTTAGGGTTTAGGGTTTAGGGTTTAGGGTTTAGGGTTTAGGGCTTATAGGGCTTTTAGGGCTTTTAGGGCTTATAGGGCTTATAGGGCTTAAAGGGCTTATAGGGCTTATAGGGCTTATAGGGCTTATAGGGCTTAGGGCTTATGTTCGGCGAAGTGATCAGGCTGTTGCTTGTACTGGTCTACTTCCCCACGGCAGTCTTCTTCTTTGTCTTCTTCATGGGGCATCACCTTGTGCACCGCTTGTGGCCCACGTCGCTGTGGGTAGACCGGGTGTTTCAGTAGCTGAGTGAGCACACTTTACTTTTTGGGAATAATATCCTGTAGAGCTGAAAGTGTACACTTTTTAGGGGGCTCAAACTCAGCAGCTAAGGTCTGCGTGTCGCAGACAGACGACGAGCTCAAGCGCCAACAGATCCAGGCCCTGCCGGTGTTCGTCGCTCGGTCATCGTCTATGCTTGTGTCACTTGGACGGCAAGAGCCTCACTCCACCCTAGCTTCCTGATCCCTATACCGACTTGAAAGGAGCCTCTTGGCGGGTTCGTGCTTGAGCATGTGCGATTTCTGATGTCTCTTTTCAATCGCCAGGCAAAGCGTGGGAACCTAGGCCATGTAGATGCACAAGTCACGTGCATGCGCTGAGCTTGTTCAGCTGCACCCATGGGAGGGCAGCGGGAAATAATTTGGAGATGCAGTGGGGGTTTGGCTCCTAGCCGACAACAAGAAAGCATGATGAACATCCTGAAGCATTACCATGGATCTTGAAGCACAGCCTTCTGTTTGCTAAACACGCCGTCCTCACACTGTGCACAGAGCAGAGGCGTCGGTATTCACAAGCTGAGACTCTAGGGTGGCGAAACGGCAATGAGAGAAGTATCTGACAGTACAAAGTCATCATTCAGTCCTGGCACTCGTCGTAATCGCCGAACTCGGTGGCGAAAAGAAAATGCTCAGTGCTCAGTATTACTGTGTCAGCCCTTCCATTCTTGCAAAATGAGGACTTAAGGTGTTTCCCTGGTTGTACTTAAGGCGAAGCCATGTTTCGTCAATGCTCTTCTCAATAGTGTGATCAGAGCTCCTGACGGACTTCTTGTTCCACACCTGAAGCAATCCAGAACCCCCTCAGGATCCGTGTACCTCTCTCGTTTATATGTGGGTAGTTCTCTAAATTAGGGTACCTTTTTGGGATCCCTTTTGAAGGGTGCCGCCATATAATGGGTACCCAAAACAGGGACCCTAGTTTAGGAAACTACCCATGTGGCTCCTAAAGCTACGGTCGAGGAACCCCGTTCAGGCCCAAAGTAGACATAGTACTGTATAGGTACATGGATCCTTGGGAACAATCGTCAGGCACACCTTAGGGTTTAGGGTTTAGGGTTTAGGGTTTAGGGTTTAGGGTTTAGGGTTTAGGGTTTAGGGTTTAGGGTTTAGGGTTTAGGGTTTAGGGTTCAGGGCGTCTGTCCGACAAATTCGAAAAGTTCATCCTCTGAACACGGCTTGGAAGAATCTACTATGGCTGCTAGGACCGGGAGTAGGCCATTTTTTACTTTTTTTTGGGTTGGGGTTCCCTTATAATCCCCTTAAAACCAAAAAGGGTGCCCTGTTTATTCTTAGTGTACTCCCGGGCCTAGGCTGACAGTCCTGTTTTTTCGATTGCCCCCATCCAGCTTCTGCTACTTTTCTTTGTGGTTCTTTACTGCAACTTTAGATCCTTAGCCTTTTGGGGTTTATTGGAACTCTTAATAAGGCAGCTGAAAATATGATTTTTTAAGTACCCTCCTATGTGCAGCCAAGTTTTGTCTTGGCACGTCTTTTCTGCACCTGACAAAGTCAGAGCCCGTGTTGCTTTCTGAGACAGGCGTCGACTGCACAGATTCATTGGCTGTAGGGTTTAGGGTTTAGGGTTTAGGGTTTAGGGCTTAGGGCTTAGGGCTTGGGGTTTTGGGTTTTAGGTTTTGGTTTTTGGGGCCATTGTCCAGAGCCAGTGATTTTGCAGCCTGAAAGTCCCTCTCTGCAAAGCGAAGAACTGGGGTCTTGCTTAGGAACTTAAGCTATGCTACCGTATGGGCAACTTATATCTTTGTACTATAAGCATATGCCAAGTTGCGTGCCCAGTCCACCGCAGGTACAGAGTTGCTCATCAATAGTTGCATCCACTCATCGATAGCTTTCTTCAGCGCGGGTAGCGGATAGGAGCTAGAGTGATCGATGAAGTTGAGCTATACATAGCTGACGGCACGTGGCAGAAGGATTCGCACGTGCATGCCTGCACTCTCCTCGCTCTCCCTTCGCAATTCTTGACTATTCGATGTAATACAACAAGAAGGAAGACATGTGAGGGATCCCTAAGCCCTAATTGAACCCTAAACCCTATAAACCCGAAACCCGAAACCGTGATGCAGGTTATGGGACGACTCGTACTTCCAGCGCCTTTGGTGCCAGCTAGAGCTTGCAACCTTTGCGAAATATGGCGGTGCGCCGAAGGTGCTCCTTGCAGCAACTTAGGGCAGGGATCAGAGTGGTCTTGTACCTGAAGTTTACGAAGGCTCCAGTGGGGTTTAGGGTTGAGGGTTTCGTGTTTAGGGTTTAGGCTAGTGGTCTTCTACCTCAAGTTTACGACCAAGACCTTTAAGATTTTAGAAGCACCGGTTTTTAGGGTGTTTAGGGTCTTTAGTGGTTCTAGGGTTTTTAGGGTTCCTAGCGTGTTTGGGTTTTAGTTTAGGGCAGCTTTGAGTTGTGGGGCTTGAGGTTTGGGCCAAACGAAGCGTCACGGCGGTGGCGCATACAGTTCTACTATTTGCTTAAGAGCCCCCCCTCCCCCCCCCCCCAACAAAAAAATTAAAAACAGATATTACAGATATAATAGCAATAATAAACAGTATTCTTCCTGAGGTATAGGGCAATATTCAAGAATTTCTATGTTTTTTCCCCACATCCCACACATCTTTGTGTGGGGTTCTTACTTTTGGGGCTGTCCCGCCTCCTCCTCCTCCTCCTCCTCCTCCTCCTCCTCCGCGTCCTCCACGCCTGGTGGTACAAGATATGCAATGCCGACCATGTCCACTCTGAGTCCAGATCACCTGCCCGACCAACGCGTCTGTACACCTCAGCTGCTCCATGCAGCGCCGGCAGCCCATGCGCGTAAGGAGATCATCTTTCACTTGGCTGGGCTCCTACAGCAGCACAGCGTTGAACAGATCGCTGACCTTTTGGTTCTGACCACAGGCTCCCCCTTGACAGACGCAGTCAGCCAAACTCTTCAGGATGGTTGGAAAGCGTGCGACAAGCACTTGCTACTGTGCTGCGAATGCCACGATGACACCATGTAGCAGAGGCCGGCGATCGATGAGTTCAAGTTTTGCTACGACACGCTGTGCGACCCATATTAGGAAGCCGGCGCAAGGAGGAACATGCGCGCGACTTCGCGAAAAAGCTTACGGTTGTGCTTGTTGCTTGACTTTGCACACACATCGCACACCTTGTAGATGAGACTCAGACTCGATCGGCTTCAAACTTCCACTTTTGCCTGCGAGAAATGTACCGTGACAGGTATCCCCAGCTCGCTGACGACATGGTGGATCTCTGCCGTGACGCCGTCACAGGTCCAACTGTGGCCGATAGCAATCGGAGACATAAATATCGCGACATGCTGCAACCTGAAGCATTGCAGCTTCAAGCAGCTATTGCGCAGCTTGGGATTCTCTTGCAGCCAACTAGCGCTGACCGCACCCTGCCTGTCACTGCAGGTGAAAAAGATGTCGCTGAAAATCCGCTTGCCGGATGACAAACGAACCCCAAACTCTTCAATTCAATCCTCTCAAGCCGGTTGAGAGCTACACGATCTGGGTTTAGGGTTTAGGCGTCAGGGGTTTAGGGTTTAGAGCAACACGATCTGGTTTAGGGTTTAGGCATTCGGGGTTTAGGGCTTAGCTCGATGTAGATTTTAGGGCTTATGGGTTGGGGTTTTGGCGTTTAGAGCAACACGATCTGGGTTGATGGTTTGGGCGATTAGGGATTTAAGAGTTCAGAGAAACGCGATCTGTGTTTGGGGTTTTGGGGTTAGGGCTTTACAGTTTAGACCAACGCGATCTGGGTTTAGGGTTTGGGGGTCCTTGATGCGACACATGTTTAGGGGACGCTTGAGCGACTTGGGACGATCTGGATTTAGCGGCTGGAGCAACACGATCTGGGTTTAGGGTTGATCATGGGTTCCCCTACTACCCCCCTCTACACTCCCCTTAGGTTCCCCCACAACTAAGGCTATTTAGGGATAATTTAATTAGGTGGGGAACCTACGGGGGTTAGTATAGAGGGGTGTAGTAGGGGAACCCATGGGTTCAGGGTAGGGTTTAGGGTTTAGGGTTTAGGGTTTAGGGTTTATGGGTTTATGGGTTTATGGGTTTATGGGTTTATGGGTTTATGGGTTTTAGGGTTTTAGGGTTTAGGGTTTAGGGTTTATCAGGGGCAAACCGATCAGGACGGCGTATGGGGGCGGATGGCACACAGCCTTCGGCAAAGGCCGTCGAACCCCCCCGGCCTTCGTCGAAGCCCTTGGCCTTCGTCGAACCCCCCTCCCGGCCCTTGTGGCCTTCGTCGAACCTCTGGCCTTCATTTAGCCTTCGTCGAACCCTCGCGTTTTTTTTTCGGGCTTAGTCTTGGCCTTTTGTATCGGCCTTCGTCGAACCCCCTCCCCCTTCGTCGAACCTCCCGGCCTTCGTCGAACCTTCGCCCGGCCCCCGGCCTTCGTCGAACTTCGTCTCGGCCCGTTGGTATCCCGAGTCTTCGTCGAAGTTCCCCGGCCATCCTGCTCTTCGGCCATCCTGATGTGTTTTCCCCTTATTTTAGGGTTTCGGGTTTCGGGTTTCGGGTTTCGGGTTTGAGGGTTCAGTGACGACCTTGAACAAATCGAATGCCCCGACTTAGAGCCAGGGCTTCGGGCCCGGCACTTGGGGCCTGGTATTTAGGGTTTAGGATTTAGGGTTTAGGGTTTAGGGTTTAGGGTTGAGGGTTGGGTTTAGGGCAGACGGACTGAGCAGGATTGAGGGTTTTGGGGATTCCGTTTTCGGCAGATCATCCCTCGGCCAGGTGCACTTCCTGCCGCTTTGGATGGCGCCCTGGTTGATCTCAGCGATTGTAGTGGACCTCTGCGTCGCTACGATTTGGTTCGTCATCTACTATTGGGTCGCCAGGCTTATGGGACATTCTGTCTGTTTTCCTTGTTTGGGTCTATAATTTTAGGGACCCTATATATCAAATCCCTAAACCCTAAACCCTAAACCCTAAACTCTAAACCGTGTTCAGAGAGATTTAAAGGCCAACCCAGGTCACTCCGGGCACCTCATGCGATGTCTGTGCCGCCCTGGTTCCGCAGTTCGTCCTGGAGTCGCCAGCGGGCCCATTTTTCACGGGCCCGGTCGGTGCCAATGCAGCCGGTATCTTTGTCATAGTTGGGTTAGGGTTTAGGGTTTAGGGTTTAGGGTTTAGGGTTTAGGGTTTAGGGTTTAGGGTTTAGGATTAGGGTTTCGGGTTTCGGGTTTCGGGTTTAGGGCAACATTTTGCATTTTCAAGGGTACTTTAACCCCAATAAGGACTAGACATTTTCATTTTTTACTATCCCAACCATGAGCTAGGTATGATGGCTCTGGGCCTCCTGGCATCGGCGCCGTGGACGTACTCCTGCAAGAAGAAGCTGCGAAATCACGCGCTGATGCTGCTCTATCCCCCTTACAGGAATTGTGTTTTTGTATTTTTGTTAATCTCAAACCCAAGAGGATAATATTAGGGTTTAGGGTTTTAGGGTCTAGGGTTTAGGGTTTAGGGTTTAGGGTTTAGTGTTTAGGGTTTAGGGTCTCGGGTTTAGGGTTTAGGGTTTAGGGAGGGTTTAGGGTTTAGGGTATTAAGGGGAGTTATAGGCTGGAGCAGATGGCCTCCTTCGACTGCCGCGAAGCGCAGTGCACTCTGGATGCGGACAGGACCTTAGTGGAGCTGCACGTCCGGCAACTCTTTGGCCCGACTGACAAAGAGGAAGCGGCAACTTCACCATTCGAAGTGGCGCCCGCTGCGTCCCACAGGTCCGAGCCGTCGTCGGCCAGGAGCATCGCCAGTGCTGTGAGCATACCCAGTGTTACAAATTTCGCATGTTCGGATGCAAGATCCCTGGACGCTTTCAATGCCTACATTCGGGGCCCGCTGCAAGCAGCAGTCGTGGAGAACGTTGGAGGGGAGTTGCACGTCTCCTACAGCATGTGCTTGTTAGCCGCTTTGCCGATGATCATGTTTTCTGTGGCAGACATCGTGCAGTACTGCGGCACCTCCGTGGACGCTGCAGAGTTCGCGTCCTGCGCGGTCCCGGCCTACATCGTCTGGATCGCCAGCATGTTTCTGGTGCTCCCCATCACATACCCCGTATTCCTGCGCATGCTGAAATGCGCTCTTGCCGTGCGCTGGGAGTGGTTGCAGCTAGTTCTTGCGGTTATAAGTGGCACGTTGAGCTTTTGCTACATGGCCTACCTCACGGCAGTTCTCTTTCGTTTTGCTTTCCTGTGGCAAGAACCTGCCGTCTACTGGGCTCCTTTCCTTATTGGCTTCTTGGCGTTCCTCCTGTGGCAGATCAGATGCCTCTTCAGAAGCTCTGGCGGCTCTGGCAACTTCGCCTCGTTGTGAAACAAGTTAGGGGGGGGGGGCTGAAAACTTGAGAGGCTGATAGGGTTTTAAGGACATTGCGTCATCTGGTTTCGAGGCATTCGATGATGCAGTGTGTGTACAGCAGCTGTGGCTTGAGCCGCATGTGCAGCCTACAGCCCAAACAAAGCGCTAAAACTTAGGGGTACTTGGAAACATTATTTTTTTTTGCTAGAATGCCTAGAGAACAGCTAAAATTTGTAATTTGTGCATGGGTGCCAAGGTCATTAGAGGGTCCTTCAGGGAGGGGGGGTTAGGTAGCTAGGGAACCTGAAAGAAGCTTACGGAGCCTGAGGGAGTAGTGGGGAGTAACTATGAGGGAACATACCCCCCTTGAGCCCCCCTCCTTAAGGAGCCTGTAAGTTTGGATGTTCCCCCCTAATTATAGTAAAAGTCCTTAAAAGGGACTACAATAGGGGGGCAGTACTATAAGGGCTCTTAGTATAAGGCCGGAACATCCCAACCCTAAACCCTCAACCCTAAACCATATAACTTCAGTACGGTAAAAACAGCCAGAGGCATCTCGCCGACACCAGCTCCATCTCTTGAGAGTGGCAGCGATGCCACTTACCGACAGCTGCATGTGGAAGACGACTGAGAGGATGGATGGGGTGGCTTGTAAGCTCAGGACTTCGGCTTCGGGAGGTTTAGGCTTGGGGTGAGTAATTGGGGTGTATGGTTTAGGGTTTTTAGGGTCAATTCATTCAGGATCCAGAGTTCAGGGCGACTTTAAAGCCATGTGGGGCCGGGGGGAGGGTGGAAGCCTTCGCAGGTGGAACTTTCGAAAGTGGAGCCCTAAACCCTTTCAAGCCTATAGGTTTTCGAGTACTATACTTTAATACTTTTTTTTGTTCTGGGTTCCTATTATACCGAAAGAGTATATACTTTTTGTGCCAGGGTCTACTCCAAAGTAGGGACAAAGCCCAAACTGCACACGCGGCTCCCCCCCACCAGACCTTGCTGTGGTTGTGGCGCGGAACATTAGGGTTTAGGGTTTAGGGTTTAGTGTCGCAGCGAGTGCTGATGCTCGATGCTGCACACCCTTCGTAAGAAAACGGTGCGACCAACATGAACTTTGCATCCTCTATATAAACGGCGCACCCACCCAAAAAATGCAAAATACATGTGAATAAAACAAACAAAACAATAAAACAAAAAAACAAACATAAATCGAGCTTCAATGGTTGTGAGGACTCTTGCTTTCTCTAAGCTCCTGAAGGGAGGGAACCCCCCCCCCCCCCCAGCAAATCTTGGTATGCTAACTGCACTTACCTTGGGGACCAAAAGAACCCTAGAATTGGGATCACATACTCTATACTGCTGTAATCCTTATTCGGTTGAACCTTTTAGGGTTCACCTGGTCCTAAGGTAAGGGACTGGATAGTACTTATGACTTATGACCCAGTTCATGTGCTCTTATAACTCTACTTGTAACCCAGGGGGTGGGGGTTGTAGAAGCGTGCAACCTTGCAAAAGGTTCCTTCCACTCATAGATCAATGAGCCCGCATAGAATTTTTTCATGATATTGGACAACCACACCAAACAGGTGAACCTGAATACAACCAGGGAAGCGGTAGTTGTTTTGCGAATACGCGGCGCTAGGACAACAAGCGCGACACTCTTGTTCCCTCCCACCCCACCTCACCCCTCCCCCCCCCCCTTCCCCCTTACCCCCCTCCCCCCCACCGCCTCCTCTCCCCTCCTCAATAGTTCCGTAAACCCGTAACACCATTTGTGCAAAGCCTTTCATAGCTGTGTGGGGGGGGGGGGGTTCCGAAATTGGGCCATATTGAGAGTCTAGAACTGAGGTCCCTTCTGATCCTAAACTGCAATGGGGTTTGTAGGGCTTCTCCGAGGATCAGGGTTCTTAAGGTTATGATTACCCGAAACCCTAAACCCTAAACCCGAAACCCTAAACCTTAAACCCTAAACCCTAAACCCCACAGAATGTACGGCGCGGCGCAGGGCTGTCCGAGCTCTGGTTGCGGGCCGTGACGTCGAGGTGGCCAAGTGTCCGTTGACTGTTCTTGCAGCAGACCGCACGAGACCCTAAGGGTCCATGTACCTTCTTATTTTAGGGTTTAGGGTTTAGGGTTTAGGGTTTAGGGTTTAGGGTTTAGGGTTTAGGGTTTAGGGACCGTAAGGGTCCATGCACCTTGTGATATGCTGGGCCCCAAAGTCCCAAAATAGGACGTACTTTAAGGCCCAAGTATTCCTGATCTCGGTACATGGACCCGCAGGGAAAGTTTTCAACTGCAATGCTCTTTCGGAGCTCGAAGCCCTAAGCCCTATACCCTGAACCCTAAACCCTAAACCCTAAACCCTAAACCCTAAACCCTAAACCCTAAACCCTAAACCCTATCCCCAACCCTAAACCCTATGAATGTGCCGTGGACTGGTCTTAGTATATCAGACCGCACGAAAGTTTTCAACTTCCAAGCTCTTCTCGAGCTCGCAAACACCCCCGAAAAGTGTAAGGCAGTTCCTTGTCCAGGTTCCCAAAGAGCCCAATAATACCCCTTAAATAAGCAAGTAGACGGCCTTGAAGTACTCTCCGTACCTCGACTTTGGGGCCCAAGTATACGATTATGAGGTACGTGGACCCTTAGGGAAAACGTGTTGCTGGAAGTCGGACAAGCTGATGCCTTTCCTTAGTAGGGGAACCCATGAAGATGAATTTCCATGGTGCATCGGACGTGGGTCCGGAATTTTATCAACCTGGATCCACAAACAACCCAGAGTGCCTATTACCCCTGAAATTCAAGAATAAACCTTAAATGATGTGATGTGTCACCCCGCGGGCCAAAAGTTTAAAAGGCTCAGAGTTGCGAGTTTGGAGTTGACCCTAACGTTGGCCCTCTGTGCAAACTCGTTGGAGAGTAGACGCCGGCCGAGCTTCTGTGATCTGAACGCTGGCGCCATGCGTAATTGGCAGAAGTAACATGCTTTCAGTCATGGTCGTTGATGGTTGCAGGTGCTTGCAGGATTGCGTCGTGTCGGTGTTTTCCCCTCTGGCCTTTTTTGGCCCTTGATCCTGAAAGGGAGGGCTGTGAGATTACCCGCTCTCCCAAAAACAAAGTGTGACGTAGGTCTCGACTTTTCACAGGTCCATCTGCGCATGCCAGCAGAAAACAGGGCAACCACCGTCAATCGGCTTGTTTATGCGGCTTTTGCACCTCAGGAGCCCATGAGACTAGATACCGACGTTGACCTCTTCTCATGCTTTTAGAGTTACCCTAAACCCTACACCCTACACCCTAAACCCTAAACCTAAGTTTATGTATGAACTAGCGGCGAGTTCAAGGAGATCCATTCTATTCACGGGTCGCAGCTGTCCAGCGAAGTATAGTTTAGGGTTTAGGGTTTCGGGTTTCGGGTTTAGGGTTTAGGGTTTAGGGTTTAGGACATGGTGGGTTCCTTGAATTCGGGTCCTCTTGTAAACTTCCTATCAAGGGATGCCGGCTCGTACCCCTAAGGTTGTACCCCTAAGAAGCTCCCCCCAAACCCTAAACCCTAAACCCTAAACCCGAAACCCTAAACCCAAAATATGCGCTTTAAGCAGGGTCCCCAAAACCCGAGGGTACAACCTTCAAGGGCCTAACAAGGGTCTAAGGTACATCTCCTGGGTCCTATAAACTTCCTCTATTTCGGCGGCTTACAGACAACTGCCCCAAATCTGTTTAGGGTTCAGGATTTTTTTAGAGTTTGGGGTTAGGGTTTAGGGTTTAGGGTTTAGGGGTTAGGGGTTAGGGGTTTAGGGTTCAGGGTTTAGGGTTTAGGGTTGAGGGTTTAGGGTTTGGGGCTTAGGTTTTCCCAAGCGTCAACTGACCCCCGGGAAAACCACGTCAGCCAAAGCATCGCAACCCCAAGAAACCTTAAGCCCCACCAGACCGATACACTCCATAAACCCTAAACTCTAAAACCCTTGTTCCCCACAGAGAATCTTTTTGGCTTAGTGGTTAGGGTTTTAGGGTTTTAGGGTTTTTGGGATTTAGGGGTTTAGGGTTTAGGGTCTAGGGTTTAGGGCTCCAAGATGGCTTACCGAAATTCCCTGCTTCAGCATCCCCGAAAAGGCCTCTTAGATTTTGGTGTCCGCCGTCCGAGATTATGGGGTTCTTAAGGGAGGGGGGTTCGAGGGGGGTATGCAACCCAAGGTTCCTTAGTACTCCACTACTCCCTGAGGCTCCCTACCCCCCCCCCCCCCCCCCCCATGAGCCCCCCCAACCCTAAACCCTAACCCTAAACCCTAAACCCTAAACCCTAAACCCTAAACCCTAAACCCTAAACCCTAAACCCTAAACCCTAAACCCTAAACCCTAAACCCTAAACCCTAAACCCTAAACCCTAAACCCTAAACCCTAAACCTAAACCCTAAACCCTAAACCCTAAACCCTAAACCCTAAACCCTAAACCCTAAACCCTAAACCCTCCCTTAAGAACCCTATCAGAAGATCCCTGGCTTGTCTGCGTCCCGGCTCACAGGCCTCGGCCATGTTGCCCTGGATCCCACACACAAAAGCCACGAAAGCCGGACCCCCCCCCCCCCCAAAAAAAAAAAAAAAAAAAAAACCTAAGAAATAAGCCCCCAACGTTGGTGCACCAAGAAGGGTTTAGGGTTTTCGGGTTTTAGGTTTTTGGGGTTTAGGCTTTTAGGCTTTTCAGGGTTTTGGTGATTTTTTGGGGGGCTTAGGGACCCTACGCCCCCCTTGTTTTCTTCGCCTATGGGCCTATAGGACACCAGGGCAGCTTAGATACCCTGTGTTCTATGTTCAGGGTTTAGGGTTTAGGGTTTAAGGTTTAGGGTTTAGGGTTTAGGGTTTAGGGTTATGGACCGGCTGCGCCGCCCGGAGTCCTTTGATGATGTGCACGCGGAGGGGCTCTTCCGCGGCACGACGGCGCTGCAGCCCCTTGGGCTCGGGGTTTAGGGTTTAGGGTTTAGGGTTTAGGGTTGAGGGTTTAGGGTTCAGGGTTTAGGGTTTATAGGGCTTGGAGGTCAAGAAGGAGGTAACCGATCAAGTCGTCGCGCGGGTAAAAGAGGTGAAGCAATGGCATCCGGGTTGATGTCGAGGTAGGCCCTTGGGATATTATGTGTTTTCCTTATGGGGTTTAAGAGCCATCCTAGAATGTTTGACGAAAGCTTCCCCTGGCCCCAGGCCCTGAACGCCTCCGTGTGCATGCAGTGCTCTTTGAAAAAAACTCTGCAAACCCTAAGCCTAAACCCTAAACCCTAAACCCTAAACGCGTCCTACCACTATGTGGCTTGCCCATGAGCCTGCGCCGCCCTAAAAGGGTTTAGGCTTTGTTTTTTATGGTTTAGGGTGTAGGGTTTAGGGTGCAAGACCCTAGACCCTAGACCCTAGACCCTAGACCCTAGACCCTAAACCCTAAACCCTAAACCCTAAACCCTAAACCCTCTTTCGGAACCATTTTGGTGGGGGTGGTCATGGTGGGGCAGGGGATCCCGTAAGTAGAGCTCATACCCTCGGCCTCATAGCTGCGTAGGGAGAATGGTGAAGCGTTCCCCTAGATACCAAGTTTGGGGTTAGGGTTTAGGGTTTCGGGTTTAGGGTTTAGGGTTTAGGGTTTAGGGTTCCGGAGCTCTATAGACGTACGTGGTTTTCAACTTGAAGCTCTGAGAGCAGAGGATCCTCCAGAACAGGGGCATCATCTTCGCCCATGGTTTGGAAGGCAATATGGGCTTAGGGTTATTAGGGTTTAGGGTTTAGGGTTTGGGGTTTAGGGTTTAGGGGTTGAGGTTCAGGGGGGTTGAGGAGGTGGTGGGATGAGAGGTTGAAGGCTTGTATTACACCCCTCCTCCCCGCCAAACTCATATCAAAACCCTAAGCTAGGACCCGGAGCCCTTATTGCCTGTTTTGGGCGTTTAGCTTCCTTAACACAAACAGGTCACCCTTTTATTCTTGGCTTACAGGTGCGACTAAGAAGAGGATGAAGATACATGTCTTCAGAGGTTCAAGGGCAAGGTTTTGGTCGCCCGGGGGGGGGGGGGGGGGGGGGGGGGGGGGGGGGGGGGGGGGGGGGGGCCGGGGGAGGTGGCACGAGGCGTTTTCTGACGTTCAGAGTTTAAGGGCGCTGACCTGCCCTAAACCCTAAACCCTAAACCCTAAACCCTCAACCCTAAACCCTAAACCCTAAACCCTAAACCCTAAACCCTAAACCTGCGTTTGAGTCCGCAGGCCCGATGAACAAGGAGGGTTTCGGTTTTTAGGAGGAACCCGCAGACTTAAATGGAAGGCGGGTGGAGGCCGGCTGAGCAGGTGATGACTTAGGCGGTTTAGGGTTTAGGGTTTAGGGTTTAGGGTTTAGGGTTTAGGGCTTCATACACTCTGCCAGGTTCTTTGTTTGGTAGCCCAGTGGTACCCTTTACCCTGTTTTGGTTCTGGGTTCCCTTCTAAAGTAGCCAACCCAAAAAAAGGTACCATCATTATCGCGCGGCTAATGGGCTACCACGTTTGTCATCCTTGTCCTGCTACCAGTTGGGATATTTTCCGGGTCTAGGCGTTTACCAGGCTTTTTTTGGCACGTTAGACAAGCTGGAGAACCCCCCCCCCACCCCTTCCCAGATAGGCACCTCTAATTTGGGGAAATCCTCAAGTCACATATCCTTTGATGGACTTCATAGAGACCCTCTTCCCTTATTCCTGCCTACGAACAATTAAGTTTAAGCTGCTAAACCAGCAACCCTGAGGGTTGAGGGTTTAGGGTTTAGGGTTTAGGGTTCAGCAATCAAGCAGCCAATCCGCGTAGGCCTCCTGGGCGCGGGTGGCTTCCGTCCGCAAAAGATTCCCACCAAGCAGGAGGCAGCAAAACCCTAAACCCTAAACTCTAAACCCCTAAACCCTAAACCCTAAACCCTAAACCCCAAACCCTAAACCCTAAACCCTAAACCCTAAACCCTGAACCCTGAACCCTGAACCCATGGATGAGTGGGATTCGGACCATGCACCCTCGACCCTAAATCAGGGGTAGGTTAGAACATATTTTTCAAGTTTTGCTACCCTGAAAACGCTATAGAACCCTTACCAAGCCTTACCAGAAGGAGTTAATTTTTACTGGGCCCCCAAACCTACCCCAGAAATGGGTTGGGGAGGGGCGAAGCAGTTTGTTGAGCAGGGAGGGGAGTTGTTACAAGCAGGGGACTCCTTACCATTTATACTGACTATTCTGAAGGCTATCGTTGCACCACCATGACTCAATCTAAGGCCCCTTGTAGCTATGAGTCTGCTTCCCTGTAGCAACCGAAGCCCAGCGTAAGTATGGCACTTAGATTAGGGTTAGAGTTTGGGGTAGTCCAACTTGCCTTGTGGTGTTTACTCGCGGGAGAAGTTCCGGCGCCTGCAATTAGAAAGAATATTTCCCGAAGCCTTCATGTGGCATGTCTCTCTGAAGCAGGCATACCTAACCTGCCGGCACTAAACCCTAAATCCTAAACCCTAAGCCCTAAACCCTAAGCTCTCTTCCCGACTTCCCTCCCCGAAGAGCCATAGCTGGAACCCCGCAAGCACCTGTAGCTCCCGAGAAGCATCATATAGGGGCCTTGATAATTTCTGGTTTAGGGATTTGGGGTTAGGGTTTGGGGTTTAGGGTTCAGGGTTTCGGGTTCAGGGTTTAGGGTTTATAAGGTTTATAGGGTTTAGGGTTTAGTCTTTTGGGTTTTTTTCATAGTATGGTTATAGAGGGACCATGAAGGAGTGCGATTTGAAGTATTCCACCCCTATTTTTTACTTATTTGCCGGAACCCTCGCCAATTTTCCTCCTGAGCTCTGGTTTGGTAAATTGAGAGGGTGTCAATAAATGGCAAGTCAAACACCCTAAACCCTATGCCCTCTACCCTAAACCGTAAACTCGTAAACCCTAAACCCTAAACCCTAAACCCTAAACCCCAAACACCGCAACACGGACGCCCAGTATGATAACGCACAAGCCAGGCACTCCTAGGTTGCTTGGAAACGTGGCGTGGCACGCTGTCAAGAGGTCATGGCTTCGGGTTTTCGGGTTTGGGGTTTAGGGTCTAGGGTTTAGGGTCTAGGGGTTTAGGGGTTTAGGGTTTTGGGTTTTGTGTGGACCTAGAGCACCTTGTCTTTTGCCGTCAACAGAAAGGGCGCCCTTTTAATCCCTTGGCTACTCTTGGGTCTAGAAGATGAACACACTCAAGAATAGAGGATTCTGAAAGGTTTAGGGTTTAGGGTTTAGGGTTTGGGGTTTGGGGTTTAGGGTTTAGGGTTTAGGGGCTGCGCTGGGCGGTGGCTTCAGGTGCTGGAAGCAGGAGCACGCATCTTCGACAACACCTCCTGCGCCGAACACGTGAACGTGCCCTGCTTGGCTTGGGGTTTAGGGTTTAGGGTTTAGGGTTTAGGGTTTAGGGTTTAGGGTTTAGGGTTTAGGGTTTAGGGTTTAGGGTTTAGGGTTTAGGATGTAGGGTCTACTGCTTCAGGGTTTCGGGCCTTAGACTTGAAGCCTCCCTCAAAATCACAGGAGCACACGTCGATTCTTGATTTGAGTCGAGTTCATGTCAGGCTTGGTGCCCGGTGGTGCCCTTTTACCCTTTTTTTGGTTCAGGTTCCCTTTTATAAGGTAACCAACCCAAAAAGGGTACCCTTATGATAATATTGTTTCTGGGCCACCAAGAAGGTGAACCCTAATAAAGCTCCAAACCTTACAGGGGCATTTCCCAACACAGGGAAGCCGCCCCCTCTCTCCTCCCCCCCCTTTTGCACCTCCCTGAAACAGAATGATCCTTGGCACTGTTCCTGTCCATGTGAGATTGTTCAGAAATCTAAGCCTCAACTCCTTGTTTGTCAAATCCCCTCCCCCTTGGGTTGGCTGAGACTGAGACGGGTAGGGAAACGGGTGGGGCCCAGTTGTGCACTGATTCTTGGTAGCCCAGTGGAACCCTTAACCCTTTTTTAGGTGCCGGATTTCCGTGTAAAGCGACCAACCAAAAAAGGGTAGCCCTTATTCTTAATCCGAGCTTCTGATTAGTGGGTGGGGCCCCCCCCCCCCCCCCCACAATAAGGAATGCAGGGTTCCGCAATAGTTGGACCGTGGCCCTGTATTGATTCTCTATTAAAAAAAATAGGCTGCAGATCCCTGAGGTGCTGTAGCTTTGCGTCTCCGCAAGCAAAACAAGAAGCCTGCCGACAGATTTTTGAACCCCCCCCCCAAAAAAAATTCCTTTAAATGTGGGGGGTTTGTCCCATACGAAATCCACCCTAATGGAAAGTAGTCTTCCGGCGGGCTTCCGGCCAAAAAAAATTCTTTAAATGTGGGGGTATTAATTAATCAGATGCTCGGATTAGGGACTGGGTAGGTAACCTTTAACTCTTTAACCTCTTGGTTATGTGGAATACCACTATCTATCTATATACATATTTAATATATATATATATAATATACATAAGCTTCACCTCTTTGGGCTAGGGTATTCAGCCCCTAAGTATTGTAAGATGGCTACTGGGCTACCACGTGCCTGTGCGGCCAGTATAACCGGACACTGGACAGATGGGCGTGGGAGTCAGCAACGAAGGCTTGTCACAACGAATGGGAGTTTTCCCATGAGTTCTTGAATCACCCTATGCCCAAAACCCTGAACCCTAAACCCCAAGGATGCGCCGGGGCAACTTTCGAAAAAAAAAAGCAAACAAACCCTAAACCCTAAACCCAAGACCCTAAACCCTAAAACCTAAACCCTAAACCCCTAAACCCCTAGACCCCTAGACCCCTAGAGCCCTGAACCCTATCTCTCCTTCCGCCCTTAGGTCTTCGTCAGTCACTGCTGGGGTTCGAAGCGCTGGGCGAAGTACCTTGCGCTGTGCCTCTATTTGAACTTTACTGCAGCTCGGCAGGATGTTGGGAGTTTTTTGAAGATTCACCCGGTAGGGTTGAGGGTTTAGAGTTTAGGGTTTAGAGTTTAGGGTTTAGGGTTTAGGGTTGAGGGTTTAGGGTTTAGGTTTTAGGCATTCTTAAGGTTTAGGGTTTAAGAGCACCTGATTTGGGGATAGTGTCAAGAGTGCGTGAAGGGCCAAGCTAGGCAGCTGTTGTGTGTGCCTTGGGCACCTGGGTGGCGGCTGTTACAGTCATGCTCGTATTCGGCGGGAACTTTGCCACAAGCCACCGATTCAATCTCTTGCTTCTTGGCTTCGTTCATGCACTGGCTGCTGGAACGCTTGTCTGCGACTCAAAGGACCTAATAAAGAAAAAGCCTAGAACACAGATTGGTGCTCATCACACGGGTTGGGGTTCAAAGTCAGGGTATCCAGGGTGTGTTGCAGTCGCCTGTAAACCGGTAGCGATGAGGTCTTACCGCAAGACTTGCATTATGCTGAGCTACAACAGCTTGCAAAAGAACCCCCCCCCCCGCCCTCCCCCACAATACTACATATCTATATGTAGGGGGAAGCGATTAGGTCGTTCTCCATCGTGGTTTACCTCCCCACAGCGGTCTTCTTCGTCGTCTTCTTTCTGGGACATCACGTCCTGCACCGGTTTCGGCCCATCTCGCTGTGGCAGGGGTAGGTTTGAGCATAGTTTTTGAATTTTTATTGCCCTTAATGCCCTATATGATCCTTACAAAAAACACAAACCAATTCATTTTTATAGGGCCCCAAACCTACCCCCAGGTGGGTGGACCGGGCATGCGTCCACCAGACGGACGACGAGCTCAAGCGCCGGCAAATCCAGGCGCTGCCCGTGTTCGTCGCTCGGTCTTCATCCATGCTTGTGCCACTCGGACTGCAAGAGTACTTGGAGGTTCATGGGTACTTGTAACGCCAACTATTACACGTCTAATTCTACCCTACTTAGGGGACTTCGGGGGGCTCTAGAAGTATAGATGCAAATTGGGGACCCTGAACCTCCAAGTATCTACCCTCGGCCTGGTTCTTTTGAACCCTATCAAATCGAAACTGAATACAGCTTTTGGGGCCTGTCCACACGCTGGCGCCTAAGTTGAGCCGTCTGTTGTCATACGCTGTTGTTGATTGAAGCGAATTTGTTTTGCCTTTCTACCAGTACTGGGGGTCTTTTACGGGGGAGGCCTAGACTCTAAAGGGCGTGTTTCCACGGCCTCCCATGGGCACTCACCAGACCCGCGTGTAGGTCGCTTGCTCACTCACTCGCCCCACTGCCTTGTCGCCTGCACAAATACCGCATACACAAATGGGTATTTCCCAAAATTGGGGTTACCACTATATGGCCCCAAACATAGTATATTCCCCTGCATAGGGACCCCCTCCCCTAAATAGGTGCCTTAATTTTCGGACACCCACGAATACTATGTGTGCGTCCTGCTCACTCTTTCCTTTCGCCGTCATGGTCATTTCCTGACTCTGCATTCCGTAACAAAATAAAGCCGGACAGGTTGTTCCTACCCTAAGGGGCACATGGTGCCTAAATGGGGAAATACTTGGGCCGAAAAGTACTTCCTATATAGGGACTTTGAAGCCCAAGTATATAATAACAAGGTACATGGACCCTTCGGGAACATTCTTGAAAACGTCGCAGGTTATGGGACGATTCATACTTCCAGCGGCTTTGGTGCCAGCTAGAGCTTGCGACCTTTGCAAAGTATGGTGGAGCGGCGAAGGTGCATAAACCCTAAACCCTAAACCCTAAACCCTAAACCCTAAACCCTAAACCCTAAACCCTAAACCCTAAACCCTAAACCCTAAACCCTAAACCCTAAACCCTAAACCCCATCCCTGCAGCAGCTGTAGGTGTTTTACAGGTTTGGGGTGGCAGGGGTTGGAGGGCAACTACAGTTAGACATGTCGAACTGTTGGACAGCCAAGAAAATATGTACATGTAAAGGCATATCTTAAGGCCCCAGAACCCTAAACCCTCTTCATGGGTATATAGAACAATTATATACATATATACATATATATATATACATTGTTTTTCTTAAATATATTTCTATTTGTACCTTGAGACCCCGGAACCCTATACCTTGAACCCCGAAGCAGGCTCCAAGGAAGCCCCGCTCCCAGGTTGAGGAGTAAGGATGTGTCCTGCAGGGTTTAGGGTTTAAGGTTTAGGGTTTAGGGTTTAGGGTTTAAGGTCCCCCGGAGGTGTGAGAGAAACGAAAGGTCCGGAAATTATATAGCAGGATCAAGTCCGACGAGGCCTCCCTCTTAGGAATTGAAAAAAGTCGGGCGATGCGAAGTTTCGGCGAGGCTTGTTGAAGAGAGTTGGTGTCCTAGAAATCGGATTCTGAACTGACCCTGAGCAAAGGTTTAAAGCCTGAGCCTGGGGATGTCCCCTTTCTACTAGCAGTTAGCATGGTCGGTCCAAATTAAGAAAAGGACTGTCAAGGGGGAGCATCCCAACCTTAAATCTTGATTCTCCAAGGCCAGCCCCAAAGCTAAGATTTCCGTATCCAAGCTTTGTAACGAGGCCCGGCAATCAAGTTTCAATCGGGGCAGTTCAGCAGCTGCGCGACTACCCAGAATCTGCAGCGTTTGGTCCCGCGAATTATATACATGTACGTACGTATAGCTTTTGGGCTGGTTTGGTTCGGATCCAGAAGGCTAGGTTATGGCATGATTTAGGTTTAAGTTGTTGTTTAGGGTGCAAGTGGCTGATGGATGCCGACGGGTCTGGAGATTAATTCCGGCTTTGTCGGGTCCACAGAGCTTTTTTTCGGGATTCGATAATATTCATATCGACTTTCTGGAGCCTGTATGGTAGAACGACTGGGGTCTACGGTTCATTTCTTCAGGTGTATTAGGGATCACCCTTGCATACTGCCCCCCTCTAGATTCTTCCCCCCCTCCCCCCGCCCCCGCCAGTGCCCCCCTTAAAGAACCTTGATTATTAGGCTCAATCATCTCTAAATCCTAGGGGGGGGGGGGGGGGGTGAGTAGAGAGGGGGGGGGGGGGGGGTAGTAGTGGAACCCATGATTGCCAGGTGCAGTTTCAACCACTTTGGCTGGCTCCCTGGCTGCTTTCCGCACTTGCGCTGGACCTGGCTGTGGCCACGAGTTGGAACATCATCTTCTACTGGGTCCCTAAGGCCCCTTTGGTAGCCCAGTACTACCCATTTTTCCCCCATTTTCTTGGTTCAAGGTTCCCTATTACAAGTCGCCGACCCCCCAGAAAAAAATGGGTAGACCCCTAATATAACACCAGGACCCGGGAGTAGGCGCCCTTTTTTCCTTTTTTTGGGGTTGGGGGTTCCCTTATAATCCCCTTAAGACCCAAAAAAGGGTGCCCCTTTTTTTTTCTTAGTGTGCTCCCGGGGCCTAGAACATGGCTATCGGGGTACGCAAGAGGCCACCTTGACATCCACCTCTTCGGCGGTTTTGCCGACGTTGGTGCTGGAGTCGCCCTTCGCTCCCTTGGTCGAAGGTATGGTCTTTACGACCACAAACGCCATCGCTCCTCTGTGGTGCTTTAAGGTAGACTGTATCCTTAGATCCTGAGCCTTTTTGTTTGGGTCTATTGGGCTTCTTAGTAAGGCCCACACCCTAAACCCTAAACCCTAAACCTAAACCCTAAACCTAAACCCTAAACCCTAAACCCTAAAAAAATAGTTTCTAGCTCCCCTGCTAAGTGCAGCCAAGGCTCTGGGCGTGTTAGCATCGATTCCCTGGACGTACTCCTGCAAGAAGAAGCTTCTTGGGTTTGTTCCCGTGGTGCCCTCTTTGGCTTCATAGGCTAGGGTTTAGGGTTTAGGGTTTAGGGTTTAGGGTTTAGGGTTTAGGGTTTAGGGTTTCGGGTTTCGGGTTTCGGGTTTCGGGTTTAGGGTTTAGGGTTTAGGGTTCCTTGCTGAAGTAGCTAAGGGTACCCTTCATTCCGATTTATGGTTGCTGGGCTAGCAGTACCACTTCGAGGTTCACGGGTACTTAGAATTCCAAGTAGAAGTCTCCTTATGCCCTACTTAGGGGGGCTTCTAAGTTAATTTGAACCTCCAAGTAGCCCTGAACCCTAAACCCTAAACCCTAAACCCTAAACCCTAAACCCTCAACCCTCAACCCTCAACCTCCAAGCAAAGGCTGCGAAATCACGCGCTGATGCTGGAGCAGATGGCTGCCTTCGACTGTCGGGCGGCGCAGTGCACCGTGGAGGCGCCCTAAACCCTAAACCCTAAACCCTAAACCCTAAACCCTAAACCCTAAACCCTAAACCCTCAACCCTAAACCCTAAACCCTAAACCCTAAACCCTAAACCCTAAACCCTAAACCCTAAACCCTAAACCCTAAACCCTAAACCCTAAGCCCTGCACCGTGGAGGCGGACAGGATCTTGGTCGAGCTGCAGGTCCGGCAGCTGTTTTCTTCGCCTGAGAAGCCTGGTTGCCCAGTGGTACCCTTTCGCCGTCTGTTGGTTGGTTCCTAGGGTTTAGGGTTTAGGGTTTCGGGTTTGGGGTTTAGGGTTCCCTGAAAAAAAGTCACCAACCCCAAAAAGGTACCCTGATTGTCTGTAATATGGGGGGCACTGGGCTACCAAGGAAGGAAGACGAAGCTGACTTGACCAGTTCATCCCACCCTTTGTCGCCCAGAAGCCTGCCAAGTGTCCACGGGGTCACATGGGTAGGTTTGAACACCATTTTTTAAGGGTTTAGGGTTTAGGGTTTAGGGTTTAAACTTTTACTACCCTTCATCCCCTATAGAGTCCTCATAAAAACCATCAACATCTCATGTTTGTGTGGGGCCCCCAAGCCTACCCCAGGTCAGCTCTTGTGACTCAAGGGCCCTGGACGATTTCAATGCCTTTATCCGGGGCCCGCTACGTTCAACCGTCTTGGAGAGCGTGGGGGGAGAGATGCACGTGCCCTACGGCATGTGCTTGTCAGCCTCTCTGCCTATGATCTTCTGGTCTCTAGGTCATTGTTGATATCCTCTTTGGCAATTTATGAAGTCTTAGATCCAGTAATAAGGAACAGAAGTGATCTTTGTTAAGTGCTACCCCAAGAATGGTGCAGGTCTGTTTCGGACATCTTGCAATATTGTCACTGTGGCGTCGGAGATGGCTTGCGATCCTGCGCAGCGCCGCTCATCATCGGCTGGGTCATTAACATCCTGCTGGTACTGCCCATCGTCTACCCCGTGTTCCTTCGCATGCTGAAGTGTGCTCTTGCCGTCCGTTCAGAGTGGCTGCAGCTCATTTTGAGCGCTTTAAGTGGCATCGTCACCTTTTGCCACAGCTCCAACTGCCAGGGTGTTGCCTTCGTCCTGCCTACACTTGGTGTCCAAGATACTGCAACCCGCTGGGTTGGCTTCACCTTCTTGGCATTCCTCCTCTTGCAGATCAGCTGCCTCTTTGGAAATTCTGGCAGCTTTGGCGCCCATGTTGTGTGCGAGATTGGGGGTGTACAGGTCTTTTCAGAGGTTGGGTTGTCAGGGTACTTTGCGGCTTCAGGTTCGGACTTGGATTGGAGGTGGTTGCAGTGCATGTGGCGTAGGCGTAGGCGTGTGTGCGTGTGCGGGTGTGTGTGTGTGTGTAAGCTCTGAAGTGCCCCCGAACCCATTTAGACCCTAAACCCTAAACCCTAAACCTAAACCCTAAACCCTAAACCCTAAACCCTAAACCCTAAACCCTAAACCCTAAACCCTAAACCCTAAACCCTAAACCCTAAACCCTAAACCCTAAACCCTAAACCTAAACCCCAAACCCCATAAACCCTGAACCCTAAGTCGCAAGGCATCTTGCCGGCGCCCGCCGCAGCACCGGAGACTGGAAATGATGGTACCTACCGGCGGCTGCATACCGCAGACACCTGAGCGGAGGAGCTTCTTCGCCTGTTTGGACTTCGACACGCCGAAACCCGAATGAAGCTTAAAGCCCCTGAACTCTACGATGCTATGAAAAGATGTCTTTAGGAGGTTCATTGGTAGTTATAAGTCGGGTTATAAGTTGGGCAACGATAATTATGACTTAATACCCTAAACCCTAAACCCTAAACCCTAAACCCTAAACCCTAAACGTCACCTCGCACAAATATCGACACCGATGCTTCAAGTCTCCGCTTACGCCTTGAGGGATCCGTAGGGCTGAGCCCTAAACCCTAAACCCTACACCCTAAACCCTAAACCCTACACCCTAAACCCTAAACCCTAAACCCTAAACCCCAAACCCTATCAGGACGGTGCAACGTTAGAATCGCACTGTTTCTGGATTTTCCTTCGGACAGGTGCGCGTGCGCGTGCGCGTGCGCGTGCGCGTGCGCGTGCGCGTGCGCGTGCGCGTGCGCGTGCGCGTGCGCGTGCGCGTGCGCGTGCGCGTGCGCGTTCGCGTGCGCGTGCGCGTGCGCGTGTGGGTGTGTGTGTGTGTGTGTGTGTGTGTGTGTTGTTTTCATCAAAGTGCGGTTAAATCCCAAATGAACACTGTAACATGACATGTGCAGAAAGGGCTGTTGGTTGCTTATAGGACGGAGTACTGCTATAGTCTTGGTAGCTTGTTATTGCTGTGTTTTTGTTGTTTTTTGGTTCACATGTAAAATTCATGGCTCTAAGGGTATAGATTTTCCTGTCAGGATGGTGACAAATCAGCGGCGACCATCCTCGCTGATGGAAGAGAATTGTGGCTCCGATGAATCTACGCCGGTGAGCAGGTGTGCGTTCACGGGTATAGGGTTTAGGGGTTAGGGTGTATAGGGCTTGGGGCTACCCATGGCATTTGCTATCTCCAAGTTTCACCTCGGCTTAAGAGCTACTTGCAGCGTGCCTGTCTTTTCCCTGTTGCAGCGTGCCTGTCTTTTCCCTGTCAAAAGCAGGGCTCAAAGTTTTCAAGGGGGCGTTGGACGGGACGTTTAAGCCATGTCAGATCTCGGCGGCGAAAAGTCTCAAGTACTTGGTTCAGCGGGGCATTGCGGAGGGCGACATAGGGGACCAATAAGCCGGAATTATGCGGCCCCTGAAATTCAGGGTAGCCTTTGCGCGTCCCGCCTCGGCCGGGGGCCTGCCTAGTAGCAAGGCAACCCAAACAGGAGAGCGCGGGGGGGGCTGTTCTAGGGAGCCGTCGTGCAATCATTCTCTTTTGGGGCTTCTGGCAGTGGGGAAGGGGATGCAGAAGGAACCTGATGGCCGATGGTCCTGATGCATCCTAGGTAGGATAAGGGGGACCCTTAAAAGGGAACCCCTTCTTAACCCTCTTCTGGCTCTCTTCAACAGGGACCTTATTCAGAGGGTCTATATCCCCAAAAGTCCCCCTAATCCTATCCCCTAGTGCTTGTCCGTTTGCGGATACCTGTCGGCAAGGGGAGTGTACCTGCTTTACTGCCTGACACCTACGGCCCGAGGCCCAACGGATTTGAAACCCGAAGCCCGCCATCCGACACACTCCTACACCCAAAGCCGACCAACTGCTTGAATTTCGGGTCAGAGGGGCAGCTGGGGCCGGGGCTACTTGATGTCTGTGCGGTAGGTCCGGTACATGTCCCCCTGGTATACCTGTACATTGTACTTGTACTCGGGCTACTTCAGGGACTTGCAGCGTAGGTTGCAGTGCAGCCCAGCTAAGCCCCAATCCCAAGACCCCTGAGAGCTTTCTTCGTGGCCTTCAGAACCTTGCATCCGGCACCCGTGGCAGCCCCCAAAAGTGTGCAAAATGCGCAGGGGTTTATAGGATTTAAGGTGTCAAGGGTTTGTAGGATTTGGGTGCTGAGGGGTGCATAGGGTTTTGGATAGAGTTTGTAGGGTTTAGGGGTTCTGGGGTCTAGGCTTTAAGGCTAGTTGAGGGCTTGGGACACCAAGTCATCACTGCCAACCCTAAACCCTAAACACGAAACCCAAAACCCTAAGCCCTAACTCACGCTCTCCAGTTCCCGATGCTGCTGCCGTTGGCTCGAGCTGCCCAACGCCTACCCAGTGCCTCGCAAGGCCTATCCCTAGTGGCCGCGAGTGGGTAAATAAATAGATACAAGTATAAATATAAGCATAAATATGAAGAATCAAATATGTCTATATAAACAATATATATATATATATTTCACATCGTTTCTTGACACAAATAGCAAACAAGTAAACAAAAAAGGTCCTCTGAGTGCCGGCTATTCATTTCAGGCGACTATTTCCCAAGATGCCCCTATACAACCCCGATATGATTGTGCGCTCATCTTTGTTCAGCTTGATGTGTGCAGACCTAGCAGCTGGACCCTAGATGCCGGGCTTTACAGGGCCTTACATCGTCAGTATCTAAGTCAGACGAGAGGATACTGTGGGATGTGTGCTTCAGAGGAGTCTTTTCCGAAGCTGTCGGACTTCGGCCGAAACCCCAAACCCTAAACCCTTAACCCTAAGCCCTAAGCCCTAAGCCCTAAACCCTAAACCCTACATCCTACACCCTACACCCTACACCCTACACCCTACACGCTAAACCCAACCCCAAACCCCCAAAACCTTCAAACCCCAACCTGAAGCGGCTGCTCTGGTTTCAAAAACGCAGCGAGAGGTCTTCAGTCGATTTGGCACGTGGTTTCAGAATGTAATGGGGTTGGCGGCCCTGGAGCTGGAAGGGCTTAGGGTTTGGGGTTTAGGGTGGCTTGTTCAAAGGTTCAGGACCTACAGTTAGCGTTTAGGGTTGAGGAGTGTGAGGGGCCTAAGGGTTACCTCACGCCCCTAAAGTCAAAAAAAACACAAACCCCACACGGTTTGGAGGGGCTCATGGCCTCTCACTTCTGACTAGCGTGAGCAGGTCCCTCACCTCCTCCTCGAAATGACAGAGAAGGAGCTCACCAAAGGTGGGTTTAGGGTTTAGGGTTTAGGGTTTAGGGTTTAGGGTTTAGGGTTTAGGGTTTAGGGTTTAGGGTTTAGGGTTTGGGGTGAATTGGGCGTTTAGGTCTTTGGGGTTGGGGTTTTTGGGTTAGTGCTGTAGGCTGGCTCCTTGACTACTTCGTTGGGGACTTATTAGGTCCCTTGCTGATGTTTCTATATTCTTGGCCTACTGCGCTATTCGCCTAACATCTGATGCCGACCGGCAGACCAAGATAACCCTCAACCGAGTTGAGAAGCAGATGTCGCAAGCAAATGTTGCAAGCTAATGTTGACTAGGTGTCGAAGTGCCCTGCATCCTTAGCCGCGCCTCCTGAAACCCGAAACCCTGGAAAGCAGCCAGGGTTTTGGTTTCAGCTGCCTTTTTGATGGAGGTTGATCCGAAATCCGTTGGCCTCTTTGGGGTCTCGGTTGTCTAGATGTTCCTGAAGGGTTTAGAGGCTTAGGGTTTGAGATTTACGGCTGAGAGCTCAGGGTCGGTACCTCATGCTGCATCCCCACCCCCAAGCCCTAAGACCCGAAACTCCGAACCCTAAACCCCCCTGAGCCCTATAAACCCCTAACCTCCCCCCTAAGCCTTAAACCTTAAACCCTAAACCCTACAAAAAAAAAAAAAACACCGACCCGACACCCTAAACCCAAAACCCCCTAAGCCCTCGGACCCTCAGACCCTGAGACCCGCTAAGCCCCGGAAAGCCCCGCGTCCAAGTGCCAAGCGCATCTTGGAACCCTAAACCTTAAACCCTAAACCCTAAACCCTAAACCCTAAACCCTACACCCTAAACCCATGTCCAGGTGCCAAGCGGATCTTAGATGAAGCTGAGGAGCCGCCCTGGCGCCGATTGACTCTCTCAAAGAGCCTAAAGCCCTCAGGGCTTCGGTTTGAGGGTTTAGGGTTTTGGGCTTAAGGTTTAGGGTTTAGGGTTTAGTGCTTAGGGCTTAGGGTTTTGGGCTTAGGGTTTAGGGTTTAGGGTTTAGGGTGGCTTTAGGTTGCAGGGTTTCGTGGGTTTACAGGAATCCTACACCCTGAGAAGCCCGAAACCCTGAACCCGAAAGCCTCGCCTTCCCCTCCCTAAAATCCCAAAAGCCTTGTGAAGCCCTAAACCCTAAACCCTAAACCCTAAACCCTAAACCCTAAACCCTAAACCCTAAACCCTAAGCCCCCCACAAAACCTCTTGCTGGTTGGCAGGGGGGGTCTGGTTTGCATGGACCAAGTGAGTGCAGGGTTCCGGGTCGGTGGGCATCAGTGCTTCCATTGGTTAAGGATTGGCTTAGCTTAGCCAATCGTGGACCTGTAGACACGCCCCAAAACCCAAAACCCTTAACCCTGGTAATCTGGTTTAGGATTTAGGGCTTAAAGTCCTATAAGCCTTATCGGGCCCTAAATCCTAAACCCTAAAGCTACAAACCCTCAACCCTACATCTGAAGCTACAAGCCCCTGATGATCGCCAGACACCTGAACTTCCATTGCGCAGCCAGGAACACCTGTGGATTCGCATCTTTCTTCATTCTCGACCAAGACGGCACCTGCATGCAAGTTTTTCAGGTCCTGAGGCTTTAGGGTTTGGGATTTGTGTGGCCCCAAAACCCTGAAGTCTTAAAGCCTGGAACCCTAACGCCGTAAAACACCCTCAAGCCCTAAACCTAACCCCTATTCCCAAAACCCTCAACCCTAAGCCGTAAACCCTAACCACTCAGCAGGGTCCGGGTCTGCGAGTTGAAGTCGAGGTGGCTGGTTTGGTTTTGTAGTGTTCAGGGCTTAGGGTATAGGGCTTTGGGTTTAGGGTATAGGGCTTAAGGTTTAAGTAGGATGACACCCCTTCGAATCTTTTCAGTGGTGTGGTCAGTCTTTACGCCCATGTGTTAGAGAAGTGACCATGTAGGTTCACTACTATTGATCGTTTTTGGTTTTAAATTTATGATTGCCGTTGTTCTGACGAGGGTTGTCTGGGCGGGAGGCGGGTTGGGGGATGGTTTAGGGTTTAGGGTGGAGTTTCGGTTAAAGCCCGAAGACATGTTGGCCAGGCTATGGCAAGAAGACGAAGGGCTCCTCTGTGGAGGTGATCCAAAACGGGGAAGGGTCTAGGGTTTGGGGTTTGGGGTTTAGGGGTTTAGGGTTTAGGGTTTAGCACTCAGGGCTCATATAAGGCTTTATGTTACTGCTACTTGCATTGGTGAGTCACATGGTGAGTGCATTTAGGGTTCCTCATAAACATTGGTGAGTGTAGATAGTTGGTGTCCGCTTGGGCATACTGGTAACAAAACCCATACTTCATTTCGGCTTCAAGGGCACGCGGTGGTCGTTTTTGCTTTCTTGGGGGCTTCAGTGTGCTTTCGTCACCAGGAAAAAAACCCAAACCCAACACCCTAAAACCCTGAAACCCTCAAAACCCTAACACCTTAAACCCTAAACCCTAAACCGCCCTGTCTGACCTGGGTCAAGCTCAGGTGCTGCGGTACAATCTTTAGGGGTCTATCTTTGCGGGCTGTAAAGAGGTCTTCGGCTTTTTGTACCTTTCAAGACTCTCTAAGGGGGAAACACACCAACAAAAAAACATCGCCAGGGCTAAACATCATACGTCATACGGTAATAGCTCAAAGAATCTACACATGGCATATGGCCTGGGATCATTCAGCACCTTAACCGACCCTACACGCTCCCTAAAGCCTAAACCCCAAACCCCAAACCCCAAACCCTAAACCCTAAACCCTAAACCCTAAATCGCGGGGATCATGGTGCTGGGGCAGGTGCCTTGGCATCTGATGAGCACCGACGGCCGACTCCTGAAGACTTGACTTCATTCGCTTCTCTGCACCACACACCGAAGCCGGGGGGGGGGGGGGGGGGGGGGGGGGGGGGGGGGGGGGGGGGGGGAGGGGTGTTGGGGTTTAGGGCTTAGGGTTTACGATTAGGAATTGGGGGGTTTAGGGTTTGGGGTTTGGGGTTTGGGGTTTAGGGTTTTGGGGTTTAGGGTTTAGGGGTTTGGGGTTTGGGGTTTGGAGGCCTAGCCTCGAGGGGTTGGCCCAACCTTTGTCGAACTTGTTGGGGTTCATGACCCGAAACCCTAAACCCTAAACCCTAAACCCTAAACGGGGTTCGTAGAGTTTCTGTCTCGGCGTGTGCGCAGCAGCTTCAAACCTGACATTGCTGAGCCTTTGTGCCAGTGCGGCTTGCAAAAGCACCTTTTGGAGAAGTATGCCTTATATTATGGAATATGCCTGGGATTGACTCGATTTGGCCAGCCACAAGTAAAGCAAAAAGCGAACTACAGAATGTTCATAGTTTCCGTGCAAAGCAAGTTTTCTTGGATTTCTTTCTGATCTGTGTGTGCAACATGTTCGATTTCAGACCCAGAACATTCGATCAAAGCGAAACCGCTTGCTAGACTTTGTGGTGTCTGCGGCTGGTGGTGCGGAAGTTTGAAGGTTAGGTTTGGGAAGGTTCGTGCGCAAGGTGCTTCGCAAGCCATGCATGGGCCCCCTGGTGTTTTCTCGAACCAAAAACTCGGGAAAAAGGTTCGAACTCTGCCGAACAATTTTTATGTTGGCTTCTTACACAAACAACCCTAAACCCTAAACAATTTTGGCCCCAGGGTGCGCGCGCACAAAAGGCTCGATGCACATCTTCACCATGATGTCGTCGAATCCTCAAAGCAGGTAGGGTTCGCAGAGGTTCGCTGGGCCCAACAAATGCCAAATGGCCCTTTTTTGGGTTATTGTTTTCAGTATCATTATCATTATTATCATGAATATTATGATTATTATTGTATATGTATGTATATATATATATGTTTATTGTAGTTTTTTTTTGGGGGGGGTCTCAGGTAGGTTTGCGTCAGTCTTGAGCCTGATGCCGGACTTTGTGCCAGCTGTGAGAAGCACCTTACCAGATTGTTTTCGTTTTTTGTTTTCGCGATCTGGCAGAGCACGGGTCAGAGAAAAACACCAATCTTGTTGAATGTTCATATAGTTTCTTTGCAAGGTAAGTCCTGTGGAGATGTTAATGGTTTTGTAGCTTTGACCTGTGTTTGGCTAGTTCTAATAACAAAAGCCCAAGCTCTATTCAGGATTCTTGCACTAATATTTGCATAGTTTATATGCGTGCACAGAGGATACCATGCCCCAAAGTCGGGAATTGACCTTTGACATAAAATACAACAGCCTGGCCTTAGGGTCCATGTACTTCATTAGTATATACTTGGGTCCCACAGTCCCTATATAGGAAGTACTTTCGGGCCCAAGTATTCCCTATTTAGGTACATGGACCCTTACACAACCTCACCGATTTTCAGGTCATGAATTCCTCCTACAAGCGAGTACAGATCCTGTCGAACCCCAAATGGTTCGTGGACCTTTGCCGTACGGTATTTTTATTGCCCTTAGTTTGGGGTTTAGAGTTTAGGTTTGTTTAGGGTTCAGGGATCCGATGGGTTCACGGCCGGTGCCCTTCCTTTCTCACAAGGTGACGAACTGCTGTTCGAGGCTCGGGGTTTAGGGTTCAGGGTTTAGGGTTTAGGGTTTGCATGGGGTTTAGGGTTTAGAGTTTGTGGACTAGGGGTTCAGGGTTCAAATCCTATTGCTAGGGACTGCGTCGGGTAAGGCTTCAGCGAGCTCAAAACACGCGGGAACGTGAGCTTTCGTGGGTGGGGTGGAGGTAGTTGTGCACGACTGTTGTCCCACGGTTCACTGGACAAGAGGCGTGAGTAGGCTTTATGGGCACGGGGCTGATGATGGTTTCTGTTGTGCTGTGGTAGCGTGTTGTCCACCTACTTGAGAGCTGAAAGCCACGCGATCTCGCAAGCCCTAGCCCGCAAAGAGGGAAGCTCCCCCACCCCAAGGCGACCAGAATCCCTAAACCCTAAACCCTAAATCCTAAACCCTAAATCCTAAACCCTAAATCCTAAACCCTAAACCCTAAACCCTAAACCTCAAGGAACCTCTGAGACCCTCAAAGAAGCTTTGCGAAAAGGCCGAGCTGCCGGCCAACCCTCTGTTCTTCCTTCAGGCCAAGATACCCCTAAACCCTAAACCCTAAACCCTAAACCCTAAACCCTAAACCCTAAACCCTAAACCCTAAACCCTAAACCCTAAACCCTAACCCCCACTAAGTGGGAACCGGATTAGGGGCTTTTGTTTGTTTTTTTCAGGTTTGTTTTAAAGCAGCCCGGAGCCATCATCCCCCACATCTACATCCTAGAACCTATAAGTAGCCCTAAAAACCCGAAGCCCTAAACCCTAAAACCCTAAACCTTCAGACCCTAAACCCTGGACCCCTCAAAAGTTCAGGATCCGAATCTAGAGTCGATGTGTGTCGCTCTTTAGTCGTGTTTTTTCACATGTGCGGTTGAAAGGTAGAGCAGCTGTGGTGATTGTTGCTGTAAACTCCCTTATAGGGTTATTGTAGGTAACCTACTTAAAGCAAAAATCAGCAGGGCTTCGGGTTAAGGTGCGGCTTCAGTGTCTCGAGACTTGTAGCCATGGCAGCTCTAAATCGCCCCGACGGCCCTGCCCCATAATATAGGGGCCTTATTAGAATAGGGTTTTGGGGATTATTATAGCAGAATTATGAAGTGGCCACAAGGAATAGATACTAGCAGTTATTCCGACCCCTATATTAGCGTCACGAGTCAGAAGGACTGGTGAAGCTCTAGCCCAGAACCCCAAACCCGGAACCAAGAATCCCAGCCCTAAACCCCAAACCCTATAAGCCCTAAACCCCAAACCCTAAAGCCCTGAAATCCTAAAACTCCAAGCATCAAAAAGCAGAGTTCAGCTCCAAAGACGCCTTTTATAGGGGGCCGGGAGGGGCGTTCATGGGGGGGGGGAGGAACCTAGGGAACCTTGCGGAAGCTTAGGGAACCTTGCGGAAGCTTAGGGAGCCTTAGGGGACCTTGGGTTCATACCCTATGCCTTGAACCCAAACCCCCCGTCCCTTAAGAACCCCTATAAGCCTGCATCAATCCCCGGTCTCCAAGCCGCAGCAGGGCGCCCTAACCTTGAACTTCGAAATCCCCCTATCCCTAGACCCTAAACCCCTAAACACTCAACCCTAAGCACCAAAAGTTTGGGGCTTTGGGGTTTAAAGTTTGCATCGTGGAGCCTCTAAGCCTAAGGTCTTTGTGGACGCGCGGGCTTCCTGGGGTGTAGGGTTTAGGGTTTAGGGTTTAGGGTTTAGGGTTTAGGGGGTTAAGGGTTTAGGGTTTAGGGTTTAGGGGGTTTAGGGGTTAGGGGGTTTAGGGGTTAGGGGGTTTAGGGTTTCGGCTTTAGGGCCTGCACTGATGTGTTCTGCAACTGAAAGCCCATCCTAGTCTCCCAGCCTTTTGGGCAGCTTCAGTCCGAATCCCTAAGCCCTAAACCCCTAAAACTCCAGAACCCCGACCCTCAGAACCCTGAACCCCTGAACCTCAAAAAACCCTAAACTCAAAAAACAACCAAGCCTTTAAGCCCTTAACCCGGAACCCTCTTGGTAGTCCAGTGGTACCCTTTGCCCCTTTTTTGTTTCAAGGCTCCCTTCTCAAGCAACCAACTACAAAAAGGGGTACCCTTATACCCTCATTGCAAGAGGTTACCGGGCTTCCCAGAAGCCCTAAACCCTGAACGCCCGAAACCCTAAACCCTAAACCCTACACCTTAAACCCTAAACCCTAAACCCTAAACCCTAAACCTTAAACCCTAAACTGAAGCAACCGGGCCAGGTCTCATCGGAGGAGGGCAACTTCTTTTGGGGTCTTGGGCCCGGGTACAGCACAGGCTGAAACCTATATACCCTCAAACCCTAAAACCCTCACACCCCTAAAACCCTAAAATCCTGAAACCCCTGCAGCCCTAAGATCTTCTGAGCCCGAAACCCTAAGTTCCAAGTTTTGTTCTGGGCCTTTAGGGCCTTCAGGAAACTGGGGTTTAGGTCCCCCCCCCCCCCTCCCCTCCCTCCTTGGGGTTCTGTCAAGACAAAGGGCCGAAATCTTGCCAACGTTGTTGGGGCTCAGACGGTCCTCCAAAATCCTAGACAAACCCTAACCCCTCAAGCCCTGAAACCCCAAACCCTGTGGACAGACCTCGTAAGCGCGCGTGGTCTCTGGATCATAAAGGGCATGTTGTGGTTCGGACCTCTGGAGAAGCCATATGCATATATATATATATATAGATATATATACCTATATATATATGTATTGTTTTAACAAGTCACCTCACCAGCTCCTTTGGGACACCATGTGCATAGACCATTTATCGCACGGCTTCCCTGGACTGCAAGCCTCGGCCGAGGGGTTCTTGAGCCAAGGAGGGGTGGCCACGTTTTTTACGTCAGAAACCTAAGTCGCTGCGTGACAGGAACTGGTGCTCCCAAGCTGCCATCGACCATGAAACTGTGAAGCTCAGAAGCCCAGGAACATCAAGGCCAAGGCTACCTACAAGCGGGCGCCCGAGATGGCGGACCCGAAGAGTTGTGTCGTCAGACCCGGCCTCGAGCAGTCCCGTCACGTGCAGGATTGCTGGACTGCCGGTGGAGACAGGTTTAGGGTTTAAGGTAATTTAGGGTTTAGGGTTTAGGGTTTAGGGGAAGCATGGCGCCTGAAACGAAATGCTCCCACGAACGTCTGCAGCGTCAGGATTGCTGCGGACTCCTCCTAAGGAGAGCATCATCAACCGAGATAGACACAGGTGGCATGTGCGCCTCCTCCAGGAGTCCAGGAGGGCATCTTCAAGTGATAGTAATAATGATGATAAGAATAGTAATAATAATAGTAGTAAAATTAATAGTAATAATAATAATAGCAATAATAATAGTTACGTATAGTAATAATAATCATAATAGCAGTTTTTACCAGAAGGGCATGCCGTCGCAGGTGGGACGTGCACGAACCATTTTGTTGTACCTTGAGCACGTGCTGGTGAAGACTGGACTGAGCGAGTGCTCGCGTACGGGCTTCGGCGACTAGTGCGAAACGAACACTGAAGCCGAAACCAAAGCCTAACACCTGGGTATAGGCTTTAAACTCAGCGCTTGAAGGTTTTAGAAACGTGTCCAATCCATAAACTTCCGAAGCCAAGCTCTATAAACCTCCTTACAGGCACTCTAAACCCGAAACTCTACACCCAAATGAACCTAAAGTTGGTATCGTAAACCATCATACTGCATACGACTACATGCACTCGTTGAGCAGCAAGGGACACCAAAAAGCGTCCTTTGTGAGCCCCCGATAATCTCTCCCTAAGGATCCATGTGCCTATGCAGTGTGTACTTGGCCAATACAGCTACGATATAGGAACCCCTTTAAGGCCCAAGTATATACTGTGCAGGCACATAGGACCTCGAGATCCTCAGACCCAAAGCCCGAAACACCAGGTCAGTTCTGGCTCGGAGACGCCAAGAGATCGAAGACCAACGCGATTTGCGACCTCATTCCCAAGGACCGCTTCCGATGCCCTAACAGAAGAGGGCGTGGGGTGTTTCTAGGGTTCATAGCTTCGTTTCGTATGTGTTGGCGGTCGTGTGGGGCCCTGGATGCACGGTTCTGCCTCGCGGGCTCTTGGGACAGCTTGGCTTCATGTATGCATATCCAAGGGACTGCGCTGTTTGGGGTCCACGCTGCCATAATTAATGGGGAAAGTTGATGCACCCTGAATGCACTGAAGCAAGAGCTGCTCCGGGTTCCGGAGTTTTGAAAGGAATAGTTCAGGTCCAGTGCTAGGGTATACCTACTATTGGGGTCGGAGTAACTACGAATTGTAAAACCCTGTGGTCCCTTTATCGTTATACTATACGAACCCCAAAAACCCTATGCTAATACTTAAGGCCCACACAAGTCCGGCTCCAGGACTGCAAGCTGATTCACAAGGCGCTGGACGGCGACAAAGTCGACTTTGAGTGCCAGGCGCCAGACGGATTCGACACTTCAGAGTGTATCCCTAAGGGTCTCTGTACCTGATTTAACTTTGATTGTATGATTCTACTTGCAAAAGATTCTGTGGTTTTGTGAGGCAATGATGAAGCTCACTCAAAACCCTAACCCTAAACCCTAAACCCTCAACCCTCAACCCTCAACCCTAAACCCTAAACCCTAAACCCTAAACCCTACACCCTACACCCTACACCCTAAACCCTAAACCCTAAACCCTACACCCTAAACCCTAAACCCTAAACCCTAGCAGTACATCCGTAAGGGCTTCCTTTGCGCGACCAGGCCCAGGCGCCCTTCCTGAAGGACTCCGCAAACCGCTTGCTCACTGTGAAGTTCACTACCAAGGACGGGCGTGGGTTTAGGGTGTCGGGTTTTGGGGTGTAGGGTTTTGGGTTTGGGGTTTAGGGTTTATAGGGTTTATGATGACCTTTGATTCCTTAGATCTAAACCCTTACCCTAAACCTTGAACTGTTGCGCTGCCTGGGTTTGTATCAGGTTATGTTGTGTTGCGTTGGGATAAGGGGGTTTCCAAATTAGGGCTACCTTATTGGGGTGCTTATCATAAGAGAATCCTATTATCTGGGGGCTTTCTTAGGGGTCCCTCATTTTCGTAACGCCCCATACTGTGTTATGATATGGGGATACTCTGCTATTTCATGTGGTTTTATGGTATGCTGAACAAAAAAGTCAAAAGACGTTCTGCAATGTACTGCAATACAATATTTCAGGGTGAATGTGATGGAAATGTAATGTAAATGTCACGTAAAATCGATGCACATGGAATGTAAAAATGTGATGTGAACGTGATATGAGTGTAATGTGAATGTGAGTCGAATGTAATGGGGATGTAGCGCGAATGTAATGTCCATGCAATGTACATGCCAGGCATAATCAATGATGCCTTCTGTACTATACGCTGAATTCCTGTATTTTCATGACCTAGACCACAAATATGCTTGTGTAGTATGTTTCGTTTTTTGTTCGTTTATAGTTTGCAGCTTCTAGCAATCCGATGGCCCCTCCCCCCCCCCCCCCCCCCCCCGTCTCCCCCCCCGTCCCCTGCCGCCCCATCCTATAACCCCTGAATCTCGGGAGAAGATCTATGCAATAAACCCTGACTACATCCGAAGCCACGCTGCAGCCCTACGCATTCCGCGCTGCCTGGTGCAGAGGAGCAAAAGTTTGTCACAAAGGTGACGAAAGCTCAGCTCCGCGTGCTGGGAACTGAGAGAGAGCAGCCGCTTTAGGGTGTGGGGACTTATGGCTTTAGGGTTTAGGGTTGTGGCTCCGAAGCACCCCACCCCTGAACTATCGGAACAACAAGCCTGAATAGGGTCATGATCAACCTACCCAGCCCCTAAACCCTACACCCCAAACCCAAAACCCCAAACCCAACTCCAGACTCTTCACCCTCAGCTGCTCTGAACCTCACCGCGATACCTTGCGAAGCCCACACAGACTGGGGCGTTTAGGGGTAGGCGGTTTCTTCGTTTGGGCTGCAGGATATAGTTCTTCTGGTGTTTGGGGTGCAAGTCCCCAAGAACACTCCAGCTGTACTATAAACATGTTGGGGATATTTAGTATTGGGAGGTTAAGCGGGCGAGGGGGAGAGTACAAGTTTTAGCGAGAAACCCCTCAAGCCCTAGGCCCCAAACCCTAAACCATGTAAACCCTAAACCCCCAACCCTAAAGCCTAAACCCTAAACCCTAAACCCTAAACCCTAAACCCTAAACCCTAAACCCTAAACCCCCAACCCGAAACCCTTGTAGCGTGTTCAAGAAGTTTGAAGGGGCTCTGCGGTCGCCCCAGGTCAGTCCCTAAACCTACAAACCCAAAGCCCCAAACCCTCTGTGTGCTTCCCCAAACCCTATGTGTGCTTCGGGTTGGGGAGGGTTTTGGGCAGAGTTTATACGACTCCAGAAGAGTCCAGCCTCAAGCCTAGGCCGAAGGCTGCGTGGGCAGAGTGGCCGCAGCCTCAGTAGAGGAATCGGTACCTTAATTTCCGAAGCCTAAACCCTGAACCCTTAACCCCAAACCCTAAACCCTAAACCCTAAACCCTAAACCCTAAACCCTAAACCCTAAACCCTAAACCCTAAACCCTAAACCCTAAACCCTAAACCCTAAACCCTAAACCAAACCTGCATCATAGCCGAGTAAGTTGAAGCCCAGGCCCGGCTGCGTTTCGGGTGCAGAGTAGGGTTTAGGGCCAACATGGGCTGCGGTTCAGGGAACGAAGGGTTTAGGGTTTAGGGTTTAGGGTTAGGTTTAGGGTTTAGGGTTTAGGGTTTAGGGTTTAGGGTTTAGGGTTTAGGGTTTAGGGTTTAGGGTTTGGGGTTTAGGGTTTAGGGTTTAGGGTTTAGGGATGTAGGGATTTAGGGATTTAGGGATTTAGGGTTTGGAGTTAGAGTGTGTGTTTGGGGGCCCCTGAAGCTCTGAACCCTAAACCCCTGACATTTGTAAACTCTCTAAAGCATATACATGAAGCCCCCGAGGACACTGAACCCTGAACCCTACACCGCCTGAAGCCCCCAACTCGAAAATCATGAACCTTAACCCCTGCAAAAACCCTAACGGGATTTACTGTAAACAGATGTGTGGGGCATATACTTAAGGTAGATGACCAATTATAGGCTTCATCTGGTCCCCACGGAAGCCCCCTGAAGCCCTAAACTCTAAATCGTCAACCCTAAACCCTAAACCCTAAACCCTAAACCCTAAACCCTAAACCCTAAACCCTAAACCCTAAACCCTAAACCCTAAACCCTAAACCCTAAACCCTTTCTGAAAGGCTTTCGGTGCAGGGCTCGGGATGCCGGGCTTACAGGGTTTAGGCTTTTGGGGGTTTAGGGTTTAGGGCTGCTGGCTGCTTTCCTTGACTCTTGCGGACAGGGTTTAGGGTTTAGGGTTTAGGGTTTAGGGTTTAGGGTTTAGGGTTTAGGGTTTAGGGTTTAGGGTTTAGGGTTTAGGGTTTAGGGTTTAGGGTTTAGGGTTTAGGGTTTAGGGTTTAGGGTTTAGGGGCTTAGGGGTTAGGGTTTAGGGTTTAGGGTTTAGGGTTTAGGGTTTAGGGTTTAGGGTTTAGTGTTTAGTGCCTCAGGGGCTCAGGGGTTTAGGGGTTTAGTGTTTAGGGCCTCAGGGTTCAGGGGTTCAGGGGTTCAGGGGTTTAGGGGTTTAGGGGTTTAGGGGTTTAGGGGTTTAGGGGTTTAGGGGTTTAGGGGTTTAGGGGTTTAGGGGTTTAGGGGTTTAGGGGTTTAGGGGTTTGAGGGTTTGGGGGTTTGGGGGTTTAGGGGTTTAGGGGTTTAGGGGTTTGGGGTTTGGAGTTTGGGGTTTGGGGTTTAGAATAGAGTTTAGGGTTTATGGCTTTGGGTTTTCGGGGTCTGGGTTTTGGGGGTTTTGGGGGGTTTGGCCAGGAAGCAGCACCGACTCCGCCTGTGGCGGGCGAGCAAGGTGCCGACGCTTCTAAGGGGTGTTTCGGGTTGGAAAAGTAATTTTTAGGGTTTAGGGCTTAGTATTCAGGGTTTGGGGTTTAGGGTTTAGGGTGAATCATCAGGTGCTCCCAGAGTCTGTAGGATTTAGGGGATGATATTCCCAGGCTGGCAGGGGTTCTTTCAGTGCAGAGCTTATAAGGCCCTCAACCCTGACAACCTCAGGTTTCTTGGTCGCCCAGTGGTAGCCTTCACCCTTTTCCATGCTTGCATCTGGGTCCCCTTACAAGGTAACCAACCCAAAGAAGGGGTATAGGGTATGAGGTGTGGGGTTAGCCTATGCTTGCTATAAGTACCCTGAACCTCCACACCTCCCCTAAACCCTAAACCCTGGTTCAGGCTAAGGGGTGGGATGAAGAAAGCTTGCTGAGTTTTGTTGGAGATCGCGCCCGTTGCCTCACACTCATCACCCTATACAAACAAGAGAGATGCCTTAAGTTAGATGGTGCTATGCTTTGTCCCCAAGGTTTTGTTTGTTTAGGGTCCATTCGGGTTTGAGGCTTTTGTTCATGTAAATGTAGGTTCCGCGAGCCCATATCGTATGCAGTTGAACTTATTGTGCTCACACTTGTGGACGTCATGTATCAGTTGGAATTGACGTTGGGGAGGTTCATGACTTTCTTCAAGGTGGCAACCTTGTCCTCGTTGCTTTCGTGCTGTGTGTGCGCGATGGCACTGAGAATACACCTGCTGTCGGGATCAGCGGCGAAGCTGTTTTTGGCGGTTTAGAGGGTGACACAGCATTGAGCTCGCCGATTTCACATATCCTGAGTGGACGTCCAAGATGAGGTTGCAAGTGTTGGAGGTTGTAGATCGGAGAGGACTGACCACTGAAACTTTCGCGAGCTGCAATGCGAGATCAAGGCTTGCGGACGAGAAATGACTTGACATCCTAAACCTTACAGCCTGCATGCCCTAACCACAAAAACCCTAAACCCCGAAACCCATCAACCCCTAAGTCCTAAAACCCCTAAACCCTAAATCCTCGTCCACCCCTAATTCACTCCTAAACCCTAAACCCCAAACCCCAAACCCCAAACCCCAAACCCCAAACCCCAAACCCCAAACCGTTGTCAACCTCAAGGCCCAGCGCCAAGATCCCTGATGAGGTGTGGGCTGGCGAAGACAAGGACGACGACGAGAAGAAGGACGAAAAAGAGAAGAAGGCTCCTTTGTTTCGGGTTTAGGGTTTAGGGTTTAGGGTTAAGGGTTTAGGGTTTAGGGTTTAGGGTTTATCCCAAGGAGAAGAAGGCTCCCATGGTTTTGGGGCTCTAGGAACTAGAGGGGTGTAGGGCTTTTGTTGAACTACAGGGTTTAGGGTTTAGGGGGGTTTAGGGCTCAGGGCTTTGGGGCTTTAGGGCTTAGGGTTGAGGGGTTACAGGCTGCCGCAGTTTGGGGTTTGGGGTGTGGGGGTTTACGGGTTAGGTGCCCTTCAAGGGTTGCGGGCGGGGGGGGGG